AGCCGCGGCGCGACAGCCGCCCCGGCGCTCTGCGTCACCCGACCGCCGGCCAATCCCCAGCCCGGCTGCTTGGGGGCGTGGCCGTGCACCGCACCGCCCCCAGGAGGCGGGCGCGGCCAGCCCTAAGAAATAAACTACAACAAGTAAAAACCTGCAGACTCTTTTTATTAAATTCTCCCATTTCATCTGTACAGAAAAAAAATGCACATTATTATGTTCAGAATCTCAGTAACATCTCAAAATTACACAGCATGGACATGTAAAAAAAAAAAAACAAACCAAAACCAAACCGAAACAAGGACCGGCCAGGATTTATACACAGAAAGGGAAAAACAATTTACAAAAAAAAAAGTCTCGTTAATGTCACATTTAAAAATAAAAAAAAGACTAAGTTCAAACAGCTTCCGCTGTACAACAGGAATCCACTGGGTCTGTTTTGTACACTGTGGGGGGAGGCCTGCGGTGCCACCCCAAGGGGGACAACTGGGTGTGCTGGGGTACCCCCTCACCTCCCCAAAACCCCGGCTCTGGTTTCTCTGGTACGCTGTCCAGTCCAACCCAAACATTAGTCACAGCTTCTGATCACCTCCATTCCGCACAAGTGTCTAGGGGTGAAAGTCACACCCTTCCCTTTTCCCCCTATCTAGTTCGCTATTTCCAAGGCAAAGCTACACAAGCACTTCTACTCAGTAAATACGGTGGGGGGCAGTGGAGTGGGATTTCAGGGTGCAGCGATTCAACCAGGAAGGCATCTTTTGCTTTCGGTCAGCTGTGGAATGAAATTTGGGTGTTGTGAAAGGAGAAAACAGCGATCTGCCTTTGGCCAGTAAGTGGCAATATGTTATTACTCCTCCCTGTCCCATACAGGCAGCGCTCAGGAACTTGATAGAGTGGGTACAATACTGAATTCCACCAGTATGGGACAGAAACAGCAAAACCAGCCAAATTCCTTCCCGGATGCACATGATTTAGGTCCCCTCTAAGCACGATTCATCAGTGGAAGCGAGCCAGCAGGTCTGGCCTCCAAGCAGGGAGACCACACAAAGATCAGTACCTGGGAGCTGCCTTGAAGATTTTGAACCCCATAATTAAGAATGTACTTCTATACAAACCGACACTACAGCTGTTTGAGTCCACAGAGCTATATTTTAAATAAGGACAGAAGTGCTAGGTGAAACGTTCTGATTTCATACCACACTCATGCACTCACACACCTCAAAACTACCTTTAAAAAAAAAAGATTAAAAAAAAGGTACTACAATCTTTTTTCAACTAAATAATAAAGTTGTGTTTTAACAGAAGTCACCATCCAACTCAAACACAATTCCTCTACAACACTATGGGATTCGAGCGATCCCTCTGGCTCATCACATTTCTTCCCTCTGTGCCCACCTGCAGTTAGTTTCTGTACTTAGAGACATTCACTTCTCTCCATTATTTTTCATACAATGTGCTTACTGTAGATTCTTTCAGAGCAAGATTGATTATATTCACATGGATTTAAGTGTCAGATTCTGGGTGAAATGCTTACATTTTGTTACAGAATTATCTGAACTTCATTAGGGCTTTTCCAGCCCTTTGCAGCAACACAGATATATGTGTACTCAACTCACTGGACAGTATTTGAAGTGCCAGTCATTTTGTTCCACCCACATGAGTTACTCCAGCAGCCTGAATGACAAGAGGCAAGGCAGGAGAATCCCAAGTTGAAACTCAGCAATAGGACTTGATCAGACCCACTAGGTAAACAATAAATAAGCTTATTAAGGTCAACAAGAATGAACACTAATGGGCTAGCAGGAGTGAAGTAACAAGGTGCACGTCATGCACAGTCCCCCTTACCCAAGTCATCTAAACACGTGCTGTCACTTAGAAAACATAACTTCTTAACCCTTGCAGCAGCAGGAGGGAAACAGAGAGCTGCATGTCTTGCTAGGTCCCACTCATCTAGCCCTTCCATACATCCCCAGAGCATCGGCATCACCATGTCTAGAATAAGCTCTCCAGGAGAAGGTTTTGTGATGACAAGGAGAAAAAAAGAAAGCACCTCCCAAATTGCATTCTGTGGAAGGAAGTCTTCTCCACCAAGAGGCAAGGGTCATGAAGAGGAAAGGATACCCCAGGTTTTGCCACACAAACATTCTTCTCTTGGCTGATCGCAGCTATCTAGCACTCTCAGTTAGATCGGAGAAGTTAAAAAGGCTTCCTCAAGTTCAAGGCAAGAGCAGTGTTTCTTACAACCATTTCTTTCTTTCTTCCCCACAGTGGAAAATAGTTACCTGCAGGCAAGATGTTGTGTTGGCAACAGCAAGAGCGGGTTATTTTAGGAAGAGTACTTGCGTGGGTTTCTGTGCTTTTGAGACCTCTAGATTTTCATGTATTATGTGAAAAGGAGGATAATGTTTCAAGACTGGGACCGATAGATTTCTAGTCATGAAAAAAAGCAAATTTGCTCATTAGCAGTGGCAGGAGGCCCCATTTTAAAACATGAAGAGGTAACGATCCTCAATGATAAAATGGCCTGGACCCTTTGCCAGTGTCATACCTTTAAAAGGTGAGTCTGTGTCCTTACAGTGAAAAAGGTATCCAAGGGAACCATGCAGAAAATTATTTAGTTCCTACCTTTGCTTCAGAGGGCCTCCAGACACATACCTACAACACCATCCCAGAGTACTCACCCTGAAACCAAATTCCCAGGTAAGCCTGCTGACAGTCAGAAACATCACTGACCATAGACTAACACCACCATAGGCCACAGACTCCTAGCACAGCACTTCAGGCACCCTTAACCTTCTTTAAATTAAAAAGCAAAAAACCCAGAAAGACATATCTGAAAGTAAACAAAGTCACCCTCAGAGCTGAACAGGGTTCACATTCAGAACTATGGCTACAAACCTACAATTTTCACTGCAGTGTCTTTTGGAATTTAGTGGAAGATGCTATTTCTAGACAATAAACCATCTAATTAGGCTTTTCAAGCTAATCAGGTTACAAAATGCCTTTTCAAAAAGTCACAACAGTTTAAAAAAAGCCCTCCAATAGCAATTTAATTATGCCCAATAGACATTTTGAGAAGCAGGACTCGTGCCAGGCAAGCAAGGCTGCACAGAGATCCCACTTCCCTTGCCGGCAGCTCTGTGAACACACCCATCTCTACAGCAGTAATTTCAGCACTCTGTCAAGTGAAACAATATACACTTATAATTGCCAAACTGACATTTGTGGTGTTACACACCTGTGCTACCTCAAGAGACATGATCAACCATTCCTCTTCTGCTCCACTTCACATTGACAGAGGACCAGTTAAGCTCTGTTAGCACCAGGGAAGAGGGGTGAGAGAAAGAATTCAGGCTTAATTTCTGTTCTACCTAACCACTTCACTGCAACCCTATCATGCGCTAATTCTCCACTGAACCTTCATTGCTCAGACTTCCGCTACTGCTTGCCTTGTGTTCATAATACTTTGATAGAAAACCAGAAGTGTTTGTGAAAGACTCACTAGCATAGTAAGTCTAAAACCGTATCACTAATAGTTTGCTGTCCATCCTCTGAGTGGGATGAAGATATGTTTGCAAAAAGCTTCAGTTGCAGCAAAAGCTCACAGTATTTTGTATATACCATTCTGTACACGCAGCATCATCAGAATCAGCTGGTCCACATTGCAAAGTGTCTCAAAACCACCTCCACTGTTCCTCTACAGAACAATGTGGAGAACTGGAAATGTCAGGTCTTGCTTAGCAGTGCACTAAGTGGGAAAATAAAGTTATGGTTCAAGCATCAGCCTAACCTGGACAGTTTCAGGCACATGATTTTTATGAGCACATCTAAAAGGCAAATAAAGGATATCCCTACTGTACGTGTGGACTCTCGTGCAGTCACTCTAGATTTCACCAACACACTCAATGTTTCAGCCAAAGCACATGGCTTATGATCTCCACACCTCCTTGTACTTGAGGAACAACAATGATGGTAAGAAGAGATCACAACTACCAGTGCAGCTTTTCTGAAACACCTTCTTTGGGCTCTTGGGTGTGAGTATCAGGTTCTGGAAGTGTAATCCTATATAGTGCAAGCGCACACACTGATGGTAACAATGTGAAAGCTACTTCCCTTAAAGATCCAGATGTTTCTGCCTTTCATACAACACTATCATCCTGCCATCCACTCCCGCTTGACCTTCTGGACCAGCACCTGTGCCCTATGTTCCAGGAAATGCCAGTTGCTATCACTATCAATTGTAATTGTGGAAACAAAAAACACTCTTTAGTGCTACCACTGAAACCATTAAGATCCAGACAGGCCAGTTACAAACCACTGCACTAGCCCACAAGTAACCATTTTACAGGCAGAGCATGTTGAGTGTTCAGTCGCTTTCTGCATCACTGACAGAGCACTGTATTGCCAGTGTGTCAACACCATCTTTAGACAGTTAATTCAGAAGGGTAATAGCTTAGCAGCAGCAGGGTAAAATAAAAGGAGTGTTAGAATTTTACTGCATCGTTGCTAATAAAAAAGTTGACCAAGTAACTTATCAGGGCACTTAATGCCCACTGACAGCAGCACTGTACACTACTGACAGGCTCTACATGCCTTGCGTCTAACACCGTGTCTTTAATCTACTGAAATACAAGCTGTACAGCTCACATGAGTATTTGATCCCGGTCAGTATTTTATTCTATCTTGCGAGTGGCAGAGGAAGAAAGGGAGGACATCTTTCAGCCAAAAAAATCCACAGTCACAAAAGCAGGATATTCACTAGATGATGACACCAGCGACTGGTGTCCTTAGGTTGTCCAAGACTATGCTCTGACGATGCTTTACATAAGATGAGCAAGATGTCCAAAACAAGGCCAACTGTGGTATAAGATGCAATTTACCTTTTAATTTCCTGCCTCAATTTCACCCAGCCACAGAGGATGACTAGATTTCAGTATGAACCATTACCTAAATCATATAGTCGGTATGCAGATATATGTCTTTCTTTAAAAATTTACTTAAAAACTGCTTGAGCTGCAGGTCATATCAGTCTGATTTGGAGAGTGAAGGCAGTTCCAACAGTACAATAGAGACTTGTCTACAGGCAGGTAAACGAGAGTCTGCTAACAAAGGGGTAACAAAAGCTGCTGGCTGGGCTGCCAATGTTGCACACAAACTTTCATAGGATGAAGATGCTGTAGATGAGATCCAGGATGGGAAAACTGAGCCAACACCTGCTGCTGTTCTAATTTTTTTTTTTTATTCTCCTCTCACAAGAGGGGGTGGGTAGACTATACAGAGGAGGGCTGTACAAAACTGGGCACTGGGCAGGCATTTCTTCAGCAGGCAATCCAGGCTCTACCTGTCCTTGAGCTCTCTTGTCACCCGCTTGGTGATGCGTCCACACATCAGGCCGATGAGGAAGAGTACACAGATGCCGACTGTGATCACAGATAATATGTAATTCTTGGACGGAGAGGTCATAACTTGCATGGCAAGGTCAGAAAAGCCTTCCGCTGGGGCAACCTGGAGGTGAGAAGGGAATAAATGAGCCAAGCTGCACTTTCCATGTGACCCTCACCCTCAGCATTTATCAGGTTTAGTCTGTGGTACTGCTATTGCATCCTGTTATTGTCAGACTTCACCTGAACCACAAACAGGCAGGTCTGCAATGATTCATCTGAAGGAACTGCTCAGGAGACTGCTTTATAACAGGAAGTTCTGCTGACCCTATTTCATTGCCCCAGACCCTCTCTACTGCAGACCAAGCCCTGTGTGCACCAAAGACAGTTTAATTCTGCACTGTTGAGGATGTATCCCAGATACTGTGTCTTTGCTTCAGCTGGGATAGAGTTAATTTTCTTTCTAGTAGCTGGTATAGTGTTACATTTTGGATTCAGTATAAGAAGAATGTTGATAACACACTGATGTTTTCAGTTGTTGCTAAGTAATGTTTAGACTAAGTCAAGGATTTTTCAGCTTCTCATGCCCAGCCAGCAAGAAGGCTGGCAGGGCACAAGAAGTTGGGAGGGGACCCAGCCAGGACAGCTGACCCAAACTGGCCAAAGGGATATTCTATACCATGTGACATCATGCCCAGTATATAAACTGGGGGTAGTTGACTGGAGATGGTCGATCACTGCTCAGGAATTTACTGGGTATTGGTCAGTGAGCAGTGAGCAACTGCACTGTGCATCTCTTGTATATTCCAACCCTTTTATTATTATTATTGTAATTTTATTATTGTTATTATCATCATCTTTTTTTTTTCCTTTCTGTTCTATTAAACTGCTCTTATCTCAACCCATGAGTTCTACTTCCTCCCCCCCACCCCAGATCCCTTCTGCCATCCCACTGGGTTGGGGGAAATGAGCGAGCAGCTGCCTGGTGCTTAGTTGCTGGCTGGGGTTAAACCACAACACAGAAAGTTAAGATATACAAGTTCAAAAAAGGAGACGTGATTTCAATTTTTCTGGACCAAACTCAAAATGCTAAACTTCAGAGACAAGAATTTCATTACAGTTGACATTTTTCATAAATAGCTTGCAACAGAAAGGTCCAATGCAAAAAAGACGAAATCCTTTACATATTCACCTTTGCAGCATAGCTCCACATTTCAATACGATCATTAAGGCGTTTCTTGCATTCAGGCTGCAACCTCACACGCTTATCTTCCAGAGCTTCCATTAAGCATGACATTTCTGTAATGTGCAGAAGACGGTGTTACAAAATAGAAGCAGTGGCTTCAACAACATGCTATGGAAAGGCTGCTGGAAAGGGACACTTCAATTCTCATAAAGGCTGACAGTTACATAGCTTTCTAAACAGACTAGCCAGCCTGACAGACTATATACAAAGCCCTGTTGTACCCTTGAAGCTACCAATTTCACCAAGATTCATGATTAATATTGCATTTTGAGGTGCAAGGAATTTTGACTTCCAAAAAGAAATTACAGTATGTTTCCAAGATGTAATTCATGTGATTTATTTGAGATTTTATGAAATCTTATGAATTTGCACCTTCAATGAGCTGTACTCTAAATCCCGTACCACTACCCTTTAGAGAGAATTAATATCAAATTCAGCTCAGGAAAAAAACAGTGTCATCTCCTTAGGCTTGTTTGGAGTTTCTTTTGATAAACAAAGTGTTCTGGAAAGGTTTACCTTCCTGAGTTTTCACACAGTCCTGTGAAAAGGAAATGGGATCACAACGTTCTGGGTGCCTATGGAGTGGCTTGGCTAACCCATAAGCTCTTTTATGTGCTCGTATGAGACAATGACATAAAATTTTTTATTTTATACTTATGCTGCTTTACTTGAATAATCCCTAATTGGATGCTTTCTGCAGTGATGAGTTATTTTGTACATAGCAAACAGGCTGCAAACTTTAAACTAAGTCCAGACTTTTTAAACACAATTATCAGTTCAAACACTCAGAGGCAGATCCCTCTCTAAGCTACAGACTTCTGCATACCTTCAGTGCAAACACATCAGAACACACATCAAAAGAATTATGACAAAACAGGAATAAATAAAGGATATCCAGAATTTCAGAGAGTTATTCAGTAACCAGCACAAAAGATAATGACCAGGAAAATACTTGGCTGCTATTTTTAATGGCAGATAAACTCAGAAAGATGGGAAAGTTCAGAACTTTTTTGCCCACTACCTTTCCTTAAACAGCCATATATACTATCCAGCTAGCTAACGTAATAGCAGTAACAAAGTGCAAGAGCTTGACCTCAAACAGGAGAAGAATGAGTTAGGAAATACTTAAATAAATCATGTTTCAAGTGGTCTGAACCTGCTGAACTCAGTCTTGGAGGACTTGAAACAGTTGATGAAGTCTCAAAGCCTTTAGCCACTATGTGAACTTAGAAAATGTAATAAAGATTACCTACCCTCTGCAATATTGGAAAAGAAAAAAATTATATGTTTAAGCAGATGGGGAAAAAAAAAGAAACATCAAAGGATTTCAGTTTAATTTTATCTGGCAAAAATACTGAAACAAAGAAGCCAATCATGGACAAAGACAGACACAAAGAAAGAAGGACCAAGGGGATTAGCTAAGAATGAATCTTGTGAAACCAAATTGATTTGCTTCTGTAAGAGAAGCAGCTTAGTTCTAAGGAAGCTTTTGATACAGTCTGATATAACATTGGCATAAGCAAGCTTGGGAGCTGTTATCTTGTGCAAAGCTGATACAGGGTGGGAGATAAACCTCATTGAAAAATGAGTCCATGTAATACACATGGACTGAATAGTTCATTTTCAATGGGATTTAACTGAGGAGAGATTTTATAGAAGGGTTACAGATCTGGTATCACACACTATTGGCAGGAATTGTATGAATGATGGAATATAAAATATGCTCATAAAATTTGCAGGTAAGTCTGCAAGGATACTGTATCAGGATTGAAGAATAGGTCCCGCTTGGACACAAGGAAGGACTTCTTTATAGCCATCTTCTAGTGGCATCTACCACCTCTGCAGCTGTTCCACCTTATTACCTGCAAAGGGCTGGTGGAAACATCTTGTACTTAAGATAATGCTGGTAAAAAAATACAGCTTAAGACTCTCAGGACCGAGACGTTATACGATTAAAGCATGAGCACTTACGACGTCCTCTCCCTGGTGGAATGGCAGCACAGTGGTGTTTGATGTCTAGGGCACAGGCTGTGTGGAGCACTGGGTCAACAAATATATCTGCTTTGCTTTCCTTCAGCATGTTGAGCACTTCCTGGGGAGGGGCAAATTACAAGTACATCTCAAAAAAAGGAGAGAGAACAAAACTCATACTGCTCAATGTTTCTGAAAGGTGCATCATATCTTTTTAAATCCAGGATCATGGGAAAAACAACACTGTCCTTGGATGAGGCTATGAATGCTGGTTTAGGCTGGATTAAATATCCTGGTTTATAAGGGTTACCATAGTTATGTTCATTAAAATACCCATATTAATCTAAAATACAAAGTCAATACGCCAGAGTTACTTCAGTTAGGACTGAAATAAGGTGCCATAGCCATGAGGCAATTCATACAGCCCTTGATCATAGCCAGTGCCTAGGCTATACCCAGCACTCAGGAAGCCTGCAACAGAGACAGCAACAGAAAACAGATTAGTAACAAGAAACTTTGGCAAACATAATCAAGAAAGGATCCAAGCCTGAAATTGCAAAGGAGGCATTGTCGGCACAATTTTCACTGGCAAACTGAAATGGAATTGAATTGCTGCAGGCCAGAACTGAGATGTGTAAGGAAATTTGCAGAGCTCTGGCTTTGCAATAGCTAGAACATGGCCTGGGCTGTGATCTGGAAAAATCACAGACTTCTGCAGGGATGGGATGCCTTTTAGAGCACATTCAACTTTTCCTTTACCTTCTTGCACATTTCAGTTTTTATTTTCAGCAGATTCACTTTCAGACATTCTTCCACCTGCCCAGTCTGCTCTTGAGCTGCTGCTTCTTCTGCACACAAGCTGGAAATCTATTTTGAAGAAGGTATTTTAACACAAGTAGTTCACAACAAACATTCTGCCTTTTAGCACATTTGTATCTCAATACATTAGTTCATCACAGGGTGCAGCTAGAGAACACATGATGAGACATTTTCTTCCCTCAGAATCCCCAGAGCCAACTGCAGTCTGGCTCATGCAATGTGCATACCCTTTGAAATCCAACAGCATAAAGTCAGTATTATTGTACTGAGGAAGGCAGGGAGGGAAAGAGCATAGAAATAATGTTAAGATACGAAATAAGCAATACTTGAGGCATGGCTGATTCAGCTATCAAAAGTGAAAGCTCAGAAATCTGACTGTATTCCAGTTAAGGTTAACAAGACCAGAGAACTAACACAAATTTTTACAACAGGAAAGCAGTATTTTTCCATAGTCACAAGTACTAATGAGATCCCAGATGAAAAAATTAACTTCATATTACCACTGCACTGGAAACTGCAATTCTTGCACACTGGGCAAAAGTCACAAGCAGAGAACCTGACAAGCCGGAAGCAGTTTAAAGGTTTTTTTTTTTTCTTTTGTTTTAATTATCAGGAGACTTCATGTTTTAAGAAACAAAAATCTGTTACATGAAAGGACTTTATGAAACACAAAGGCAGTTTTCATCCTGAAAAAGTAGCTGTGGAGCTACTTCTCCTACCTCTTCAGAACAGTGCATCTGAAGTTGGGGATCCAGCCGATAATCGAGAGCCGATTCCTGGATTATCACTCGAATTTGGTCCTCGCAGTCTGGAGAGAGACGCTATTAAGCGGAGAAAGTCATTAACCCACTCAATGACCTTTATTTTCATAAATCAATCACCTTGCATTTTAACCTGTGTATTCTGTAATACTTGTATAGGAGTGTAAAAAACTCATTTACGTACAGCCTGTTACCATACATTGAACACACCACAAGCCCAGGTTTGATTTTTTTGTTCAATGACTGTTGCTCAGCACAGTTTCTCATTTGCATGCACCAGCCCCACTCACCTGGTCTGCGTATTTCAACTTCAGGCACGAGATGACTTGCCCTTCCAACTCTGTATCATCCTTGGCCCTATTCAGGATATTTTGGCAGAATTTCGGTATGTCTGCTTTGCAGGCCTTTCTGAGCACTGGATTTAAGCGGTAATCTAACCGGGAAAGATGACAGAACTTCATTAGAGTACACATCTCTTCAGATTACAGAACATAACACTCCAAAAGAGATTTGATAGAAATTTCCCGGATGACATTGTACCACCAATGAATTTGATTTGGGGGAAAAATAGTATTTTTTTCACAACAGAATTTTAGCTTGTAAGAGCTTCATGAATAAAGTGGATCCAATAACTCATGTTGACCCTCAAGAACTTGACTGAATAAAGTCAGTGTGTGCACTGACAACCACGAAGGAGAATAAAACAAAGCAAATGTTCTTTCAGCCATGAAGACCACTCAACAGCTCTGCAGGCAAGTTAAGTTTTTTTCAGAAGACGGTACCTGTGTTCTGTGTAATCTGGCGCTTGGTAATCATTTGTTTGCATTTAGGATCCATCACTTCACTGTTCTTGTTTTGTTTCAAACACTGCAACATATTTTTTGAGTCTGCTTCTGGACAAAACCGCTACAAAAAAACCCCAAACAACCAAGTTTCATCACTAAGCACTTGGAAAAAACCCAACTACAATCACCAGAGAGAATAACCACCTGCCCAACCCAGAGGTATACAGACACACTCCCTAACCCCAACGCCTCCTATTAAAAAGAACAGTGCTACTCTCTAAATAGACTATGGGCACAAATATCTCTGCTTATGGACTGAGCACCACACCATACAGTCTTGACTGGCTTCTAGGCACCAGCTTGTGTTGGCAGTACCAAAACCAATTTGCCTTTATTTTATATTCTTAAGTTGCAGCACACTTTGCAAGAAACAGCCACCAAATTAGGTCTCAAACCCAACTACTTTCACTCCCCTTTATTTTGGAAACTAAAAAGGGACTCTTAAGTCTATACACATACTGCTGTTCTGCATAAATGCTGGCTGGACAAAGCAACAGGTTAAAGACTTCATTAGTAACACTCAGGACAAAGTAAGACCATACAGAAAGAGAAAGCAGAGAACAGCTCACTGATACTAATTTGCCCATTCCCACCCTGAATTAGATAGTCAGAAGTGAACCAGCTTACCCAAAATTCAGACCAAAGTACTAATTTCTTTTGTTAGAAACTAATTCTGCAGGCATAAGATAAGGCTATCGCACTTTCTAATGCTCTCCATTTTGGTAAGATTACAGGTCTTTTTTTAGAAGCATGAGTCTATACTGGAAAGCAATAAATTTTCAAGATGTTGTGCTTTGGCCACAATATGGAGCCAGGGTACTGCATACAGACCACACATACTAGTGTTTCAGGGCTTGCAATTCTGGCTACTGTGCAAGACTGTCTTGTATTAACATTCACTGCTGCTTTCCACAGAGTACCACTTTAAGCCAGCATTTCTAATTTCAAGTTTTGCACGATTTTGCCTGCTTTATCAGTTCAATGAAAGTCTGTGTGCACCAGGTCAGCAGTGAACTGAAGATGTTACTCCTCTCTGTGATCTTAACTTCATCTTTGCTAAAAGCCAATACAAATCCAAACTGACTGGATGAAAACTGTATTAGAAGCCTCAGCACAGACTTCCTCCTCAATTCTGCTGGCAGTTGGGAAGACGAATTTATTAATGCACAGGCTTTGATCAGACATTTGGAAGAAGTAAAGTTGAAAGAGTCCTGAAGAAACCTCAGCCTGATTCAGAGTTAAGAAACAGATTACTATGCAAAAAAGCAAGCATACTTCTGAAACAACACAGCAGTCTTCTAACAAGCCTTTACGGGAACAAAAAAAGCTCTTGTATCCCAAGCTCACTCTCTTAAATTAGCACACTTGCCATTACCTTGATCATCTGCTTGCAGACTCTCATGAGCGTGTAGTCCAGTTCTGGATCCATCATCTCTGTCTCCTGCAGTTTAAACACCTTCTGGTGGCACCGGGTACTCAACTGCTTCTTGATTTCTTTCAGGCATTCAATAATCTACAACACAGTATTACAACTGTTAATGGACGCATTGTTGATATGATTCTGTCATACGCTGCTCAAAACATACAGCTATGTGTTCCCCTAATGGCTATCTTCACCTGATTTGTGCAGCTAAGTTCCCAATGTCTAGATTTTAACAAAATTACCAATGCTTATTTCCAGGACTTGGTTTAAGCTCATCTTTTCTTACAAAGATTTAATGAGATGAAGAGGGTCACCTGGACCTACTCCAAAACTGCAAACTTCATCTTGTAGACATTATGCCTAAGCAATCTTTAGCAACGTTTGCAGTAACCAGCTGCTAGTAACTTAAAACTAGCATTAAATAAAGAATGAAGTGCTCACAGCATTGCATTCACCCAGTATTAATGCTTGTGAACCACTAAAAAAAAAAAAAAAATAATTTAACATTCCAAAACACTGCCAAAAGATTTCAGTGATATCAAAATGAAAATCTAAAGCTGCACTCACAGGGGCAAAAGCATTCTCCAAAAGTTTTCTGAAATGACAGCAGAAATTAAATTGTAAATTATTAATAAAATCCATTACCTGAGCATTGCCATAGGGCACGTTTTGGCAGTAATTCTTGATGTCACTTTTACAAGCCTCATACAGTTCTGGTTCAAGTCTGATATCCTCGGTCTGCAGGATAAATTATAATACAGACTTTTAAAAGTAGGACTCTAAAGACTATTTTACTTTTTTAACCTATTAACTAGAGCCCTTTATTCACAAAAAGCAAGCAACTCACAACAGGCAGGTCAGTTTCTTTGAATTTAAGGGTCTTAAGTGTGAGAAGTGGTGTTAGTGGGAAATCAACTTTGCAAATCCATGCAGTGGATCAGTTGGCTTTTTACACTGAAGAAAGGGTTTAAACCAAATTTCAGAGCTTGCAAGTTGTTTCCATTGCTGCTCATAAAAGGGCATCAACACAAATGTCCAAGACAACTAAAATCTTTTCATGTGAAAGCTAAAGTACATATTAATAGCCACCCATCTATTGGGTGACCTGGAGGATGTGAATGAAATTCTTGCTTTTAGCGATGCCCAACATTTGAATTCTTCCATACAAAGGCAAGTGTGCTGCCTCGTCTGATAGGGGCCTACTTAAGATGAAGCTTTAACACTCAGACATTATCTACTGGACAAAGAACTTCAGAGTTTATTGCTGCAAGCACTGCAGCAGGAAGCTGAGATGCAGCCTTGCCTCCCAGAATAAATACTACTCCTGTTTATCCACTGAGCAACTTAAAGCAGCTGGAGTCAAGTTGCTTCATCTGTGTTTATTTCCTCACTCTGTAAAATGAAGCTTTTATTCTCTCATAGAGGACTTTAAGGACATAAGCATGTGTAGCACATTGCTATCTAAATGTAATCAGAAAGCTGAAATTCCAATGACTATTCACCTTGCCTTAGCCTTCATGAGACTATATTTAAAGCATTAGACAATCATTACTTTCACCATGAAGGGCAATTGAACGTCGTGTTGTAAGAAGAGTGGAAAAAATAAGTTAGATATGTCTTATTGTCCTGGTTTCAGCTGGGATGTAGTTAGCTGTCTTCCTAGTAGCTGGTACAGTGCTATGTTTTGAGTTCAGTATGTGAAGAATGTTGATATCACTGATGTTTTCAGTTGTTGCTCAGTAGTGTTTAGACTACAGTCAAGGATTTTTCAGCTTCTCATGCCCAGCCAGGGCACCTGACCCAAACTGGCCAACAGTGTATTCCATACCATGTGATGTCCCATCTAGTTTAGGAACTGGGAAGTGGGGGGGGGCAAGGATTCGCGGCTTGGGGACTGGCTGGGTGTCGGTCGGCGGGGGGGGAGCGATTGCCCTGTGCATCATTTGTACATTTCCATCCTTTTATTACTACTGTTGTCATTTTATTAGTGTTATCATTATCATTATTAGCTTCTTCTTTTCTGTTCTATTAAATCGTTCTTATCTCAACCCAGGAGTTTTACTTCTTTTCCTGATTTTCTCCCCCATCCCACTGGATGGGGGGGGAGTGAGTGAGCGGCTGCGTGGTGCTTAGTTGCTGGCTGGGGTTAAACCACGACACTTATAAATTAGTTTCTTTTTCTCCCAGGGTAGACAAACCAGGAACCTTTAATTGAAGGACTTCACTAGAAAAGCAGGCAGATCAAGTGTTTCATGCATGTTTACCATCTCCAGCTCCTCAACACGCAGCTGTTTGCGGCACTTCAGAGAGACCCTGTGCTCTTTGGCATCCTGCAAAGTATCATTGCGCACAGTTGTGCTCAGACAGATCACTACATCCACCCTGCAGAAAAGAAAACAGCTTTTTACTCATATACCCTTCACTTAGACCAGCCAAGACTGGTGTTGCATCACCACATCAGAGAAACTGACCCCAAGAACCCAAACACAACAAAGTCCTTGTGCATCTGTGCTTACTTCTAGCCTGGGTGCAGTTCGATGGAGAGTAACTGGATCACAATTAAAACCCAAATCTAATGCTAATTGGAGTCTAGATCAGCAGACAAGAAGATATTCAAAATCCCACCACAGCCCTGCCCAGCAAGACCTCTGCTCTTATGTCACTTGAGCGCTTTAGAAAAGCTTTACTTAATCTCAGAAATAGATTAATACCTACATGGCATTGCAAGCAATCCTTTTGCATTATGGGAAGGGCGTTTATATCATAAAATGCAAATAGTCTTGCTATCCATGAACAGGACTGACCTTGTGTGTAATTTAGCCTTACGTCATTGCAGTAGGCCATTGAAGAAAACCCCTTACACCAAAACGAATAAGCCAGCTAAAACAAGTGGGATATTTTCCCTTCCCAGATCAGCAACTGGAACAATTGTAACCTGCATCTTAGAAGACGATGAATCTAGCAAGGATATAAAACATCCTTGGACGTGCAGTCCACTAATCGTAATCATTAGCTATTTTCAGAGCAAGAAAAATAAAGAGGACAGGCTTGTATGCAAGAGTAAAGCAGAAGTAATTTTAAAGAGGCAGGCAATGCCTCTACCTTAAGCATCTGCAGAATGCAGTCACTAAGGGTAAACACACAAAACAATCAGCCTTTAAACGAAGTCCCGCATTTTCTGTCCTATCGTGAAATATCCTGTAACTTTATTACATATTTGTACAATGACATTGCTGTTTGGTCAGGCGCTACATACTTTTTTTTGATGTTGGGGCAAAGTTTCAGCACATCCTCCTTGCAAGCCATTTTAAACTTGTATGAGAACCTAAAATCTTTCATTTGAACCTGCAAGAGAGAAATGAGGGAAAAAAAAAAAAGAGAAGTGCTGCCTGAAAGAACACTTGTTGAATCATAAAATCAGCAAATGCTTCTGCCCATAACTTATTAATGGGGAAGTAAGGGGGATGCTGCACTGCTGAAGAAGCTGGCACCCTATCTACCATACATCTGGAAGGAAGGTGGCCCTGAAAATCATCTCCACAAGCGACCATTTATGACCAGGCATGCAAGCACAACAGTGTGAATTCACAAGAGCGCTTTAAATACAGCGGGAAATCAATCTCAAAGAAGGAGGGGTTTCATAATTAGCTAATTTCTGTCAACACCCTCAAGAAACAGAACAGGCTTCCACTGATAGCGGAGCAAAGCGCTGCTTACCAGCTGGAAATGAGTAACTCCAATTGCACATTTTTCATTCATTTCCTTCTGGTGTTTGTTCTGTATTAGACACTCCATCAGGTCCCCAGAATCTATCTGGTTATCTGCAACCTCCTGAAGAAGAGATGAAAGGCTTAAAAATAAGCTACTCTTACCAGTCATGATTGTTACGCTCCTTTGGCCCACTATGACCAAGAAATAATGGAAGTTACAGTCCCACACTCTATTGTGAGCTTACACTCACCATTAACTGACCACCCTAGAGTTGTGCCACACAATTCTACCACTCAACTACATTTATAGATACAGTTCAGAAAAGAATCATCTCAGGCACATGCACACTTTAGACTCAGGAGAACATACTGCAGAGACTCAATGCTTACATGAAGTATTAGCTAGGTGCCTTCATTGCTATTTAACTACTCAATCCTAGAGCAATGTAAGAAGTTATTTCAGCAATGCTGAGCAGCCGCACAGAGTGGCGTGGCTAGATGTGCTGCCTGCAGCCAAGGGGGAAGGAAAAAAGTTTAGTTTTTAACCCACTGTAAGGAGTGATTTTTCCAATTACAGGGCAGTTTTCATCTTTAAACCTCTAGCTTTTGCGGTAGGACTCTGACAACAGCAGAAGTACTAGACAGAACTAAGAATTTTTGGGTTAGGGTGTTTTTTTTAATTAAAAAGACCGTTGTAACTTCTTACCTCTGATTTTATTTTTGGACTGTAACAAGTACACCAAGAACTAATACTAAAAATCTCTAACCTTTCCCACACAGTGCTTTTTCCCCCAAAAAGATATTCACACTATTATGGAGTACCCACATGACAGAATGTCTGGATAATGGGTTCACACGCTCTCATCAGCAAGGCTTCAATTTGAATGTCCTGCAGAAAACATGCAATATTTTATTTTCACAGTGAACAGACAAGAAAAAAGGCTCTGAAAAAACCTGTGATAACAAGTTAAACACAACCCAGTTTAAAGGGCTTTGAAATCCAGACAGCTTTGCCCTTCAATTCTGGAAATCCTAGGGTTCACTCTTGCCAACAAGATGGAGAATGCAAGACAAACCTTCCAGCTTAAGGGAGGAGCCTGGTCTCCACAGAAACTCATTGCTGGGATATTTCAGCAAACCTTCTCCAAACTGGATGCTACACCACTAGAAATCACCTTACACCTAGGCAGGAGTTAAAGATTAATAATAGTTCCGAGCAAGTCATTTTGTAATCACTGGGAAGGAAGCTTTCCCTAAGGCACAATGCAAGTTTTAAGAGATACATGGAACAGTCTGGGGCAAGATAATAAAACATGCGGCTTCATAAAATAAGTAAAGCTGCTGACCTCACTGAAAACCTCTAATGATGCACGTGGCAGTTACTTCTTGGAAAACTTTTGGGACAGGGGAGGAAAGTTGCAATATGGTACTCAAAACTACTCGCAAGCAAGACCAAAAAAAATGAAGTCTCATGACATATCTTGACTTTTGCACTGGTAACCCAGTTACCTTTAGCACGAAATCTTAGCTTCAGTACCATGACCGATTTTAAGCGGGAGAAATGTCATCGCCAGCCTAAAATCCTGAACCGTTGGTCAATTCTCTTCCTCAAGAATCCCACATGAAAACTTACATTGTACAGGGTAGAATGGATGGTCTCCGCTTGATCCCAGAGAGCTGCATTTCTGCAGCTGCTCTAACTTCACTTTTTTTCATCACTATCAAAATGACAAGCTTAACTTGACATGCTCAACTATTCCCTTTATCCCAGGCTGAAAACTGCTCACCTCAGACTCCAACTCAGTGAGGTTTCCCACTATGTCTCTGCACTCAGACACCAAGTCATCAAGATGGTCCTGAAGGCATTCCAGCTCCTACAAAAACAGACTCTTTAGTGTGTGATCCAAGAACCCAATTTGAAATGTTGTAACACACGTGGAACTGCCCTGCTCCTCAAAGTCCTAAACCTCATTTAATCCCACTCTTCTACTGGCACTCCCAGAACACATATACATCGTAGTGATTGAGAATGTTCATCTAGGATATTACCGCTTGTTCTCAAAAGCTGCATGATGTGCTTTCACTTCTGGAATATCACATTTAATTTGCCCTTCACATAACCTTAATGAGAGATTAATTACCTAAACTACAACCTATGACGGGCACTTCAAAAAGACAATGGTGTATGCTGTACTGCATCTGCTGTTGAACGGCTCCTCCCCTACAGCTATGCTAGGGCACAGCAATTTAACATGAAAGTATTCGTTGAAACTTTGTTAAGTAATAGCAAATGTTAGTTCAGTTCTGTATAAACACAGGAAGCATGTCAGTATTTGCCAAATGAAAATATCATAAAGTTTATGTGGGAAATGTCAAGCTTGTCATAGAATATTACAAATAAGAGTCAGGGTGGGGTGGGGTTGCTTCATTCAAGTCCTTCCTGTTAAGTAACCCCTTCCCCCTTCTCATTCCACTACACATTTGAACCTACTGAAGCCACGTAGTAGGCACAAAGATTCTTCGTATCACCTCCATCTCTGTCTAGTGTAGATTATGTTTCAAACCGCACACATTTTTAATATATTCTCAGCTATAAAGAGAGAGCTAACAGCAAGACGTCCCTTCTTCCCCTTTTTTGCCCTTCCTACCCATCCAGCTTTGCAACTGAATTACCAGTGTTACTGTGTACAGTACCTGCCCTGTCTCTGTTTTTTCACTGCACCACTTCCCTAAGTCAATCATGCACTTGTCCTGAAGGGCTGGGTCCAGCTTCACATCCATGGCACGCTGATGGAGGATTCTCTGGACCTCTGCTCTGCACTCTCGTGATAGCTGTTAAAGAGGGCAAAGAGCATTTAGTGTATGGGGTCTCTAAATCCACACAATGAAAACAAGATGCTGTCAAGTAAGGTACTGAGAGTGACAACAAACACCATCAGCAATCCCAGAAAGCACACAAGTTGTCCCATACTGCTCAGCATGAGCCTGCTGGGGCCCCCACAAGCGATCCGAGTTCCAAAAGAGTTCGGAACCCTGTCATTTAGTTTGGATGAAGGCTCCTTTCATTCCACTACAATAAATTTTATATTCTTAAACCTTCACTTTGCTTTTGAAATGAGATGTCAAAGCAGGTCCCTAAATTATCTGCTGCACTGCCCCTTTCATACAAAGCTACAGACTGCTTCTGGAGAAGAAAGTCAAAACAGCTCATGCCCTCAATACCAAAAGGGAAGCCCAGAATGAGGCAATATAGTCCAGCTGTAATTTCTTCTCAGCAATCCCCACTGCAGCACATCAGAGCCAGCATTTAGCAAGACTGAGGAAGAAACAAATTGCAGAAAATCAAGGGATACTGGTATGGTGCTTGTCAGACCTAAAATGCACCAGTTGAATCTTAAAACTTCATACATTTAAAAATCCAAACCACTAAAAGTTACCTAGCATTTTGTGTGCAGCACTGGAAAAAAGTAAAGATCTAACCTCTGATCAGTTTGCTTTCAAACACTAAATTTCAAAATGACAGCTGTTCCCTTAGCCTACTTTCCACAAGAAAAATACATTTTAAAGCCTTCTCTCTCTCTAATAGATTATTTGCAGGGTGGACTATTGATTTCTTTGGTCAGCACTAATTTAAAATGGAATTAAAAAGTCTCAACTCAGCAGACTAACAAACTGCATTAAAAAAATTATTCCTAAAAGACAGGTGCTTTCAATCAATACTTGACCTCTGCCACAAAAGACCTTTTAAATCAAGCTGTAGAAATTAATTTTTAAGCCAGGCCATTGTGTAAACCCACCAACTCCTAGGGGCTGTGTACACTACAGTGCCAAAAAAAATGGGACCAAGTACCCAGCTGCTCTCAAGGGAGTGCCTTGGTAAAGGCACAAGAGGGCAGCAAACTTGGAAAGAGTAGATCTGAACCAAACAAATGTGATTATGCTGTATCTCCAGACTGCAGAGCTGCAAGTCAGATCCCTACTGTCTTCTTTAAAGACAGCATAAGCACATTTACCAGTACAGTATGCTCCAAAGAACTGAAAGGATACTTTATATCAATAGGAAGAATTTAATGGAGCACAATCTGAAGTTGTACTCAAATAAAAACTTAATTAGAAACAGCCTAGGAAAGCTGGGCTCAGAACTCCTTTTTGCATAAAACCAATTTTGCAGCTATGCTAGCTATCTACAAGGAATCACATTCCTCTTTGGAAAGACAAGAGGGAGGACTTGAACTGTGTCTGAACAAATATACATAAGTTGTTGTCAGCATACAGTTCCCCCTGCAGGCAATTGTCACATCTTGATGGGGCTATTTTGCCTTACCAGAACACCACCACAGACCTTCAAGGCACATTTGAGGAGGAGTTGGGCATCTGAAGCAGTGCAACTACCACCTACAGTGAATGCTTTTAAGTAGCTTTTGCAAGTTCTTGCAGTTTTAGCACAGGGCGTCCAACTTCCAAATGTACACGCAACCATTCTATCACACATGTAAGAGCAGCAAGTTGCACTCCAGCACTTACCCTCCTTCCTTGCTCCTCCGTGCGGTACGCATGCCTGTACAAGCAGGAGAAAACAGCCCCTGGAGGCATCAGCTCACTAGTTTCATTCCAGCCATGGGTATGGCAGAGACGGGAGGCATCTCCCTGACACTTGCGGTAAAGGACCGTATCCAATCTGCAAACAAAGAAGTTAGCACTAGCACTTTACACAAACTTTTAACATTTTTTCATATTCTGAGATGCTTTTGAGGCAGAAAAATCCACTTCAAGTTTCATACACCACCACATCATTCTACAGCAGTGTCTACCCAACTGAACCAACAGGTGGCAAGATGCCCGTCACTCAATTTGTAGTCAACTCCCTAATCTTGCAAAAATACATTAAGACCTTTAATTACAGATTAAATCTTCAATGCTTCTTGAAGTGCCTCCCATTCTCTTCTGCAGCATGCCAGCCAAATGCTGACATGAGAAAAGAAATCATCTCCTTGACGTCCTACAGCAGCATAAAGGCAGGAACATACCATCTTTTGCTTGCATAGTATCTTTCATGTACTTTGTACTGCTGCCATTTTGAAATGCTAGTTTCATAAAAATCTGAGTTAGATTAATTGTCTGCTCTGGATTTGAGCTAACTGAAGACTCCGCATCCCTTGCTTTTGCATACAAGAAAACTGCAAGTGTAGGTCTCTTAAGATGATGTCTAATTACATTAAAGCTAAGAGAGATATTGCCAACTTTCCAAAATGGAAACTTCAGATTTCTACAACACTTTAGAAGGCAAACATCAAGTGATATCAGTGGACACAGTTATATAGATATACAGATAATGATAAAAATAGTAAGGAAACCATTTCCATTCCATGCATCTGCGCTAGGCGCGCAGTTCATACTTGATAAGCCAGTTCTAGGGAACATTGGTTAAACAAGATGAGCTAATGTTGCCCTGCCTGTAATATGAATTAGAATTATCTTTACTCCCAGCAAAATGCAAATACTCAGTCTTCCTTCTTCCAATCACTTAAGTTTAGCTCAAGCAATGAATTACCTGCTGGAAACATGGTACAGGTAGGAGAACCAGCAATGAAGAAAAACAGGAAGAGGAGGAAAAAAAAAAATTAAGTATTCTTGTCTACCTACGGAGACAGTTATTGAGATGACTAAATAAATAGCCACAAAGCCCTAAACTCTCTGGTCCATGAAGCCCCATGTATTTTAAAAGCAGAAAGTTCAGAGAGCATGTCAGCTCTTAACTACTGCCAATGCTGCCCATAGAGACAGCTATGAGTCAGATTTTCTTAACATTTGATTTGAATACCCTTTGCAGTAATTGAAGCCCATGACTTCTTGCCTTACACTACTTGTGGTCACCAAAAACAATTATTCTATTTCTTGCAGTAACCCCATTTGATGTACTCTACTTCCTCACCTCTCGCGTCTTCTTCCTCAGAAAAGCCAAACACTTATTCTTTCCTCACTGGTCATGTTCATCAAATTTATACTCTCCTCATCTTAACCCACACAGACACAAGGGGCTCTGTATACATTTAAAACAAAGCACTGCCATCTTTGGATGAGAAAATTGGAAAAGCAGTGCTCCAAAGGGACTTACATCTGTTCTACAGGCTGTAATAACACCTAGAGAATTTGAAAAGGCAGAAATGGAAGCAGGGAGCCTCTCACACAGTGGCTCTTTGTTATACTTAGTAGCTTAGTTTTCTTCAACTCCCATATTGTAGCACTCAAGAGCAGATAAAACTAGCTGCCACCTGCACAGAAAGTGACCGTCAACTTCAGTACGGCCAGAGAGACTTCTTTTAATTAAAGATGCATTGAATTTCAGAACTCAGACTTGAGACACTTTTTAGGGTTGCATCATTTCTAAGTGAGTACCTGATTTAAGTGGGTACCACACTTACTTTTTCTAAGCAGCTTTTGCTTCCACTGTTCTAGACAGGCATTAATGCCCTACAGACCTGGCATGCTTAAAAGTCCTCTTTTGAACAGAAGTATGCTATACTGTTTTACAAGGAACTGCTAATGAATACAAACACTAAATACAAGCATCAAGTGAGGATAAATTTTGTTTTACAGCACTCACTTCCAATCACGAGATATAAAATACTGGAGCTCCAGGAGTCTATGCTCACAGTCCTCTACCATCTTCTCAGTATACAAGTGCTCCATCAGGCAAGACAGAATCCTGCAAACAGAAGAAAAAAGTTAGGCAACAGACTGTTATAATCATGCTGAGCTTCCTTGCAACAGTTGGTGTTGCCAAATCTATGGTTCATTGGAAAGACTGGTAAGACATTCAAACACAGTGAAGATCTTTCTCTTCCTTCAAAAAGGTTACATTGAAAACAACTGTATAACACATTTGTACCCTCTTAAATTCCATTGTTTTAGTTATCTCAGCAAGTCTGATACACGACAAAATCATAAGGAATATTTTAAATAAAATTTGGCTCAGGAAACAATATATATCAGACCTGAAGATAAAGGAGACATTTGTCTCTGCAGTATGGGTTTGCTTAACTGGTCTTTCAAGGCTTGTTACTTTTCTTTGTGATATTCCTAGACTTACGCAGTAAGAGAAATTAGCACAAGAATTGTTACAAATTTAACCTAAGCGCCTGAGATTGCTATGTCCTTCACCAGTGCTAAAACAGTCCTGTTGCAAAAATACTAGCCTGCTTATGTGGCAAGAATGAAGACAGAGCTTGGTTTACACCAAACTAGCAATTCATACAGGGTTGGAGAAGTCCATCGTTTCTGGACAGGTTTTAGTATTTATACTGGTCAGCAACACAACCTTCAAGGATGCCCAGCAGAAACAAAAATGAGATGTACCCGAGAACCACCTACATTGGGTCTCCAGACCGTATGTGCTTGCAGGCAGTCTGTATCACCGACTCACAGGCCTCATTCAACGCTCGGTCAATGCGGTAATCTGCACCAGGGTCAGTTTCTTGAATCAGTGTTTGAAGCTAGAAGAAAGAAATTGTGGATAGGAAAACAAATAATTATCAAAACGAGAGCACTTACAACTTCTCAGTGTGGCAATTATACACCGATAACAACACTACCAGGTATGACCTCTGCTCTATGCTTGCTTATTTCAAATGCTTGTGCTGCCATCTCAATTACCACACATGGGAGTCCAGTGCTGCTGGACCCTAATTATCTTTATGAAGCAGCCCAGGAACATTGGATGAGACTGGTCACACACTGAAGGTCAACTTTATACCTGGACCACTTATATACCAATTTACAAAATGGAACTGGTAAAATTTGAATATTGTTATTTTTGATCCATACTCATCCAATAAAGCTGATGATACAAACATGCAATTCTGTCTCACTTCCATGAAGACTATCTATTGTTCTAAACTGAAACCCAAACCAATGTTTAAAGACCAGTTGCCTAACTACAAACAAAGCTTAAAAATGTTTTTTAATTCCCTGGAGAGGACACAAAAGTTTCACAGAAATACAGGATAAAACGTCCCGTTCTGCTGGCCCATGATATATCATTTCCTCAGGTATGCCTGCGCAAGCTTTTGGAAGCCAGGTAACCACAATTTGGTCTATATTAAACAATTTTTAATATATAAAAAGATAAAATTTTATTATTATTATGAAAGTATATATATTATTATATCACACATATACACATAACAAAAGCAGGGCATCAGTTTTTATGTACTTAAGAGAAGCCATGGTGTAAGTGAAAGATGAAACCAAAAACTTTCCAAAGATTTAGAAAACAGGTGTGCCAACTGGAAGCTGTGATATCCCTGCACTCCTTTTGTGACTTCTAAATACTTTCAACTGTCATAGGTAAATACAGTATGAACAGTTTCATCAAGTCCTTTCTTTTTGTCAAACAGTTATTCTGATTAAAGCTTCAGAAAAATAACTGTCTTTATTAATAAGGAAACATAATTTAACATCCACAGCACTGAGCTTCAAAATCAGATCCAGACAGGTCTCCTTCACACAGCCCATGATATCTGAACATGAATTTGGGAGGCATCTGTGGGGCCACAGGAAGGGAGTTTGGGTAAATCTCAATCTCACTTAATCTATAGTTTTGAGAAGGGTAGCTTTCTGGGCCATCACTCAGCCCAGGATCCTCATGTCCCACTTCATCTCCCACCAAGCTGTGAATTCCCAAAGACTGACATAGGGCAATCATCATCATTTGACAGGCAAATATTTTTAGCTGACAAATTTGGAGGGGAAAAAAAAAAAAAGGAAAGAAAAAAAGAGTTTGCTTAGAAGGCAACTGCACACCAACATCAAATGGTCTATGCTGTTAACATCCTAACACTTAATGATTTTTGTTACTCACCCCCAGCCCAACTAAATCAAATGCACAGTTATAATTTTATCCTCCATCTTTCAAAGCCTGCACCTGAGCACCATCCAGGAAACTTTCAGGGGCAAAGCCCTAACATCACAAAATACAAAGAAGAAAAAAGCATCAGAGAACTGGAGAAAATACAAGCTAGTACAATTTATCCAACAGGAAGCTTGTAATCAAACGGACAGACCACAGACTGCCTGGGAGGAACGCAGGATTTCCTGCAACTTGGTCTTGGCCAAAGTTAATTAGGTCCAGCCTCAGCTTCTAAGGGATGAAGGCAGCTTGGAAGAGAGCTGCCTAGCAGGCAACAAGCTGTTGATTCAAAAGTTCTTCTGATATTTTCACTTACTGCTACTACTAATACTACTACTATTAACAATAATTTATACAATTCTGACAGTGGTCAAACAGAAGCTAATACAGAATCCAGTCCATAACAGGGAGCCGCACTTTAACCAGTGGGAGAAGTGATACATGCTTTACAAACTTTTTAAGAGTCAATGCAAGAAGGAGAAGTATATGGTAGTTCTCCTGGCATGCACACACAGCCTGCATGGGCGGGCAATACTCTGCACATAAAGTGCTGGGCTCACTTCATGTCAGATGTTTACATATAAAAAAAAGGATGAAGTATGATTATTGGAATTACTCCCTCAAGGACAAATGGGTGAATAAAACCTCAAACCTGACACTTTCTTACACACAGAGATTAAATAAACTGGCCAGAGTATTATACCGGCAAAATTCTTCTTCAGGTCTCAGTTTAAGTGGTATTTGTGTTGCTATCAAGTGGAAGAGGCCAAAGAGCCCTGGGTATGACAGCTGGGAAGCGCCAGATCACCTCCCAGTCTCTCTGCCCTGTTTTGGGCACTACTGCAGGATTCCCAGTCCTGATCTTCAACCACATGCAAGATATGCAGCAGTGAGCCAGCTGCCCTGACTGCAGGGGCGAGGGAATAATTTGACACCATAAAAAGTGATAAAAGTGAAGGTTTTCTCCCACAACAAAGCCTTGCAGCTGAAAAGCAGCTGCATAAACTTTATAGTCCTCTGAACTTTCATCCTGATGTGGAGCTAAATTAACAATTAACTATCAATTTATTAGCTGTATTAGAAATCAGAAGCAGAAATATCTGCCCTTTGAGAAAGGATTATAGTTTTGCATGCTCAAGGGACTGAACAGATAAAGACGAGACCGGAGGAACATAAAAGCCACATATTTGAAAAATAGTTTGCCAGCAGCTCTAGTATAAAATATTGCTTCCACTAAGCAACACCATAGGTGCTAGACACTACCAGTACAGCTGTAGACCTTTTATGGGCTGATGCTCACAATTAAGGGACACATACATCTGCTATTTGGTGACCTACAGCATCGCAGACCCACCCTCCCGACATGCAGGATCTCCATCTTTGAAGAATAACATAACAATTACATTTGCAGAAGACTATTTAATGACTGGAACATATCCAAGCTGTATATGCTTCCCCAAAGCAAAGAAGAGCTTGTTTTACATGGGAAGACATGCTCCAGAATTAGCATCTGCTTACAATGATTTTTTCTTAATAAAATGCATGCCCCTATAGAAGTACATCAATAGTATAAATAATAGGAGCCCCATCCTTTGCTTCAGAACAGGCAGAGCATCTCCAAGACAGCAAAGCCAAAGTGCAAACAGCCCTGAAGAGGGCACGTTGCTAGAGCATACCTCTGATATGCTGGAGTGAGCAAGGTACTTGAACCCACAGTTAGGCAAGATATGGCAGACCAAACACCCACGAGTTGTTTTTTTAACTTAGGCTGAACAACTCATGTTACACAGAAAGCCATCGTTCCTCTACCATTTACAGAACTTGGGCATTTTAGCAAGTTCACTGATCAAAACCAAGACAAAAAACCACACAGCTCTTAAGACGTTTGGGTCTCGGCATGCCTCTTGCTCAACAGCACGGTTAATTGCAAGTGCAGACTCATATGCGAGAGCATTCTGGTTGAGGTGTCACAAGAAACGAAGCCCCTCAGATCAAGAAATCAGGGTCTGAGAAAGCATTTACTTGACAGTTTTGAGTACAAAGAATCACTCACGTTCCTCATGCAGGAAATAGTACAAGCAGAAGCTCCTGCAGGAAAATAAAATCATGCCAGTTCTTCAGCTATGTTTTGTTTAGGGATTTTTTTGGCATTGTTTTTGGCAGATGGGCAAACATCTTCCTTTCATAAGGCAAACAGAATCAGAATAAATCTTGACAGGCAGGACAGTAAGTAAAACCAGATCCAAATTAGATGCTTCCCATTCCAATTTCCCCAAGCAAACTGTCTAGGCAAGCACATCTGAAGAATTTCAGGACTAGTCCTACTGCTTTGAGCTAGCCAGGAAATCAAAGTGCTGTATTAGCATTACCTACTGATGCTACTAAAAGCACAGAGACATGAGTTTTTGACTCCACATAGAAAAGACAACATTTGGAGATGGGCCCAAAGCTCTGCAGCCAGTTCTGCTGGGACAACCCCAAAGTAACCGTGTTGTTTTCCTGTTTCCTCAGGTGATGAGGTAGATGCCACAGACCAGTAGTTCCAACAACAGCAGCCACATCTAAGTTCAATCTGAGAGCATCAGCACCATGTTTCTGAAATAAGAATTGCCCAAGAACAGCAGAAAGCAAGGACCAACATCAGTCAGCTTTGGTCCAGCTGGACTTGGGCTGAAGCCATGTGGACCAAGCAGTAGCCAGGAAGCAAGCAAGCACGAAACAGCTGAAGCAGCCATCCTATCTGCAGACGAGGAGCCTTTGTACCTCCAATGTGATAGGAGTTCTCACTGACATTACATTGTAGACAAAAACCCCCAAAACAAAACAGTCCATGCTCTTTGATGCAGTCTGCTTACTAGTTTTTGGAAATCCTAACACAGATCAATCTTTCCTCCACGAATGAATTTACCAAAGCAGCACTTCCAAGACATCCACATGTCACAGACTGAACTGTACTGACACAAGGCAATGAAGAAGCTGAGAAATCAGCTTCAGAAAAGCATCAGTGGCTCAGCAGAAGCGTGTGTCAAAGATGCTCTCTAGGAACCCGAAAGGAAATTAAGTAGCTCCAGCTACTATGAAGCTGATGGGCCTCTAACTTGCCTTCCTCACAGCCTGTCATATGGGTCAATCTCATATGACAGGCAAGTTTGAGTCTCTTGCACAAGCCACACAGTACATGGAAGGGTTTCAGACAATATTCTCTTCCTTACAAAGATAATTTACCTACCATAGAAAGCAAAAGCAAGAAGCTCATTCTAACACAGTAAATCAGAACAGAACAAAACCACTGACAGCTGAGACAACCATTACCATTCACATATAAAAATATCAACAATAAGTGATTTAGTACTTCAGAAGTCGTAGGCAGCTATATAATAGTACTGTGCCAGTCCTCAGGAACCCAGAGCATTGGAATATTTATCCCATTCTTGCAATCATCCATTTCCTCTTGCCCATAAAAATATGGACAAACTAATCCTATTTTATAAAATCAACACTTAATTTGCTCCTGCTGTCTTTTTCACAGAGAACAAAATATAGGTCATTCAACTTGAAGGGGAGTCATGGACAAGCCCTGCTGTTGCATCAACAGAAAATTAAAGCAGTAGCTTAAGTATAAGAAAATCGAAAAAAAAAAACCCTAGAGATTTCTACAGATGTTCTTTTTCCCCACAAGTCTGAATTCTCGTATCACTTTTGGGGGTCCCCTGCCCTGACTTATGACTTGCTCTGAACATGCCCTTCATGATCTGGAAGTTATTCCCACGATGAACTGACCTTGCCACAATTTGCAAATAATCAAGTTCTGAGGCAGCAAGTTCAATTTCATATTTAAACAGAAACAAGTATTCAGTTTTTCACATAAATCTTCCAAAGCATAAGCCATGCACTACAGCTCACTGCAAAAATGACTCAAACTGTACAGCTGCTGCACCGATACACCTGGTATTTATGCAGAAATAAGCTTCATCACAAAAGCATCCTATGCCTTACAAAAATTTAAGAGATACTGATTTACCTTTGATAACATACACAAACTGGCAACATTTTGGGCTCAGGCTTTAAGCTACATTTACACTGAAAATGGAATACAGTGGTTCCATATACTCCAGGAGGTCAAGAGCATGCATCTCCTCAAATTCCTACATCAGCACTAATAGCCACTTTTGGCATTGATATCACTTTCCCAGGCTCATGGGCCATTAAAAAAGCAGGTATTAAGTACAAAAATGTAATATCACATTAAAAGGCACTAACAAGTTTGAACCAATATTAAATAACTGTTTTCAATTTAAAGAGACTACAAACAGGATGCATCTAGGCCAAAATGGAGTTTAAGCAAGGCAAAAGAATTATCCCATTTTAAAATGGTATTTTGGAGAACGATGACATTTCCTTCAGTGGCTGCAACTACAATGACGTGCAGCAGTATGTTGTACCTACCTGTCCCTGAAGTTCCATTTCCATTGTTTAAGCCAAATGAAATCACAAAAATAAAACTGAGTGGAAAAGTGCTTTGAGAAGATGTAGTGCATTTCCAAGGACAGGGCATAGGGGGAAAAGGGAAGGAGAGAGAATGTTTTAGAACTTATAAAAAAGCAAGTTTCCCTACATCTTGCACCCAGGAGAGAATTCCATGACTTGAAAGCTGCTGGAGAAGAACTACTGAAGATCCAGTACAAAATCCAGAGCAAAACAATCCAAAATGTATTTTTTGAGGAAAAAAAACATTACTAATTTGCTGCTAGATACCAAGTTACACTTCATACCATGACAATTACACAACTGCCTCCAGCATTCACTGGTACCCAGCAGAGCCAGACTGCCTTCAGCCAAATCTCCATCGCAAGGCAAAATGTTAACAGACAAACCAGTGCTTCTACCAACTGAGCAACCTAGAAGCAAAGTGATAGAAAACTATCTTACTGCCTGCTGACAATTCAGGCCGACGTTTCCCTTTTCACCCCGTACTACTTTCATCAGGCAATGCAGGGTGCGACCTTTCCGATGCAGGCCTGAGCAGTGGTGTTCGATCTCCCCTCGACAGCTCAGGATTATTTCTGGGCTCAGTGAGAAGTCTTCCATTAGCATGCGCCGGTAATCCAACATTTCACCCTGGCACTCGCTGCTCACTTGTCGACCTGAGCCAAAAGAAGATGACATGATTTAGTATTAATGCTTAGCAGAGCCCTTCTTGACCTATGCTACCATCATGTTGGAAGAATGGGAACAATGTCCACACTCTGGACAACACCAGATCACAACAAATGTGCTAGAGTGGACATGCTGGAGATCAAACCAGTTCTTATGGTAGCAGCTCCTGCCATTTGACTGAACCTGTAAAATAGCCAGTTTATGGATTCATACACAGTTTTGCAAAAACAGGTCCTGAAAGATTAGGAGTTTCATATTACAGGAGTTGCTTTTGAAGAACAGCTGAAAGCACTCAGTGGACCTACAGTTCTGTACCACAGGCCAGCTCTTCCCCATATGCTCAAGGGCTTGTTTTTCCACCATAAAAATGGAAGTCACCTATGGTAACTTACCAGCTTGATTATAACTGGCAGAGGCATTTGTCTGGACAGCAGGTTAAACATTTTCTGAGGAACAGGTTTTCTAGAGCAATAGCATGTACTTGCTCAGGAAGCCAAAACACAGAGTAAGTTACCAAGAGTATATACAGAGTGTCTAACAAACCACTGCAGTTGCACAGAAATCTAACTTTAATCAGTGCTTAGGTCTGCTATAAGCTTTCCTACAGTCCCCATGTGGACATTTTGTTGGGGTTTTTTTTCAATCAAAAGGAACATGCCTTTTTTGCTGTGCCCTCCCCCTAGCCCCCATCACAAGCTATTCATACATGTACAACACCCCATGCAACAGAGGTCCTATACCTCAAGAGGGGCTCCCAGGCATTATAATGCAGACACGTGGAGGTGTGTGGAATAATTAGTGTTCCTCCTGGGCTATGCTTCCTGCATGAGCCACAGGCTGCAGAACCTGTTCCACCATGAAAGTGGAAGTTAATAACTGAACAGCAGTTTTCTACATGTAATTCAGGAAAGCACCTGCCCACTGCAGAGAGAAGGAAAAACCCCACAACTTTTCCACAAACAGCGCACAGCATTTCCGCATCAATCAGAAGCAATGAGTTATTCAAACTCACAAATGCACAGATTGCTTATGGTGTGACGGCAGCCTTCCCCTCCTGTGCCAGGGGCATTACAGCATGCAGCCCTGCTGCTGAATCAGAAACCAACCAGCTGCATGCCAAGGGGGAAAGCAAACAATTCTCCAGTATAACTCTAGAGTATATAATGTGGTGTTTTACATGTTATGGAAATTTCACAGAGAACCTTTAGCACGGTCCTGCCATATAGGGCCCTCTAATGCCTTTGGGACAGCTGCTGATGTTTGGGCATCTCCAGCTTGCACTAACTTAAATGAACAAAAATAATATTCTCACACTTACCTTCCTTCTATATAGGAAAAACTAGAGTTAGAGAAATTAAGGCCTTTACCCAAGCTACTGACTGCAAGGCAAGAACATTACTTACAAGAGGCAGAGGACTGAGTATCTCTGGCTTTCCCTGAGTGATAAGAAACAGGTTCTCTATTCTGTGTTTTAACCTAGTAGCATAGTTAATGCTTACTACATAAAAGAGGAAGAAAGCTGCTTGAATTCATAGTGAATAGAAGGATTTGCAATTACACATCACCCGTCCAAGTGGGATTTGCTATTTTGCATTTTAAACTTCTTGTCTACACAACAGGAGTCAGTGTTAGAGATTTACTCAGCTATTCTGATCTTTAAAACAACAGTGATGAAAGCATTATGATGAGAAAACTTGCCTCTGAACCAAAGTTTGGAGAAGGTTACTTGGAGAAGGGGACTGTAAATACATGTTGAAGCTGAAGGTCCAAGAGAAACTTAAAAAATATCAAGGTCCCAGCAAGTCACAGTTCTCTTGACTGAACTCCACTTACCTCTATGCACAGCAGACTCTAAGCACATCAACAGATAGGAAAGCCTGGCTTCCCGAGACCGGGGAAGGTTCTCCACATTACAGCGGTACTTCTTCAGATCACTTTTACAGGACTTTGCCAGCGAGTAACTGACTTTGTAGTCTTGGGCAATCAGCTTCTGGCGAGTCGTCAGCGCATCACGACACTGCAGGAGACACATTGGGATGGCTGAATGAGTTTCTGTGCACTGGTGGCAGAGAGCTAGATCTGCTGCTGTTAAATTTTCAGATTGTGTTTCCAAAGATGACTGATGCTTTAAAATTCATGCATTTAAGCTAGACTCCAGTCAAATTTCATTTGTCTCAGAAACCACACAGTTAACAATGCACACCAAGGTCAACAGATCAAGGGTTTTAAAGGCAGCAGCTCTCTGCAGAGCACTTCTTAAAACTGCACATTCATCCAGCTTTTTGTGAAGAGCTATGGCTGAGAGCATGACTCATTCTTGATAACTAGGATCAGTTGCTGACATTTATCCCAGCTGTGGTATGCACTCACCCCATGCCCTCAAGAAACATCTTTTTCCAGTCGCATTTACAAAATAGCGTGTTCTCTGCATTTGTTCTGCAACATGCCGAACAGATGACAGCAGACAAAGCAGTCTAACCATGGGAATTTCTAGCCATTTTCCACAAGTGATGAGGCTCACGAGGATGCACTGTGGCCAAACCTGAACCCAGCAGCTGCAAGAACAACCCTCTAAATTTCATCCAAAAAAGGGCCTGTAAAAACACTGCTACGCTTCATAGCTTTTGGTTTAAATTTTATGAAAATTAAATCCGAGGGTGGCAGATAATTCAGAATAGTTCAGGCAAATTTGTCAATTCCTGGACTATTTGAAAGGAAGGAAAACTGTGCATGTGTACAGTAGGGAAAACAGGGAGCAATCTTGGCAGAAGGAACAGAGAAGCCCTATAGCCCTCTCCCCTTCCTTACATCAGGTTTTTGACTTTTGTCCCGCTCCCTCCCACATACCTACTCCAGGACCTCAAAGCCCTACTCCAAGATATTCCCACCTCCTCCCTCATGCTCCCATCCCTGTGCCATGACTGGGACCTTGGGACTAGACAGACTTAAAGCTCTGGACGCAAGGAGATACAGGCTCACAGATAACTCACCCCCTAAAGCAAGGAAAGGTCAGGTACAGCCAGAGAGCCCAGCCTGGAGAGTAGTTTTGGATTACACAAAACAAGCCACCTACTAGGCAGCTATTGTCAGCTACATGTGTATGCAGCAGCCGATGCCATCAGCAAGGCACGACATTTTACTGGATAACAACTTCTACAAAACTAGTGACTTTGCAGATGGTCCAACTTTGGCAGCTACAAGAGTGAGACCTGGATTTTGTGTTCCTCCTGCTCTGCAAACCACACCCTCAGAGCATCCACCCCTCTCTCCCTACCAAGTCATCTGCTACAGTTTTGCCTAACGTCTCAAAACCTTACATTCATATCTTAGCTGATCATGGAAAAGACCCCTCAAAAACCACCACTGTCCCCTTACAACCAAAAACAGGTTAAGCAAAAATAGCAGTCCATTTCAGTAACATACTTGTACAAAATGGAGCTTTCTTTCAAGCCCTCAGGGATCACACTCTCAGTTTTGAATTTGTTAACTGGAACCAAGCTTTCAGATAGCAAACGCATTTAAAGAAAAGGAAGTGAGTCTGGTCCCTCCAGGCCTCTGAATCAGGCTCCTTCAGCGGAGCTTCCCCCAGGAGGGCTTTACAGATATTCATATATTCATCTTCGTATCCTTTCAGAAAGATGATATAATTCCATATAAACCCAAACACTATGATGCTGCTTCCGCAATGACTGAAGGCACTGCTGCCTTCCCAAAACACCTACACCAATACAAACTCTTTTCAGCACTGGCTTTCCAGAACAACTTTTTTATTGTTGTTGAAAACCACATCTTCAGCAAAAACATAAAGGAAACTCCAGTAACTGAACTGTGCATCTTTCCCACAGAATTTGCTGCTTCATAGTCAGACATGCATAGCCTTGAAAACAAAAATGAAACACACATAGCTTCCCGTACTGAGGCATTTGGGCTGTTTTGTTTCTAATCTGTACATTATGACAGCATTTATCCAAGGCTTACCCCAGCATGGTGCGACTTCTACTTTAAACACTCAATCACAGTGCTACCACTGGAGCTCCAAGTCTACCTTCCCAAATTACCCACCCAAAAGCTTTGATTTATTTAAATCCTTAACTTTAAAGGCTGTAACTTGAGTACAATTAATTCAAGCCATCAGTACGTAGCTGGAAACACAAACATATCGAAGTAAAAGCATCTGTTAAAGCAGCCAGTTATCTGACCACATAGATGATGGATTTTCCTCAACACTGGAAAAGAATAATGTAGCCTGGACTGATGAATGATCTGATGATTTCTACATTAAGGATTTGTCTCACTGAAACAGATACCTACCTTTTCACTCATTGATTCTTCAAACTTGTGATTAAAGAGGCACTTGTAGACTCGGCCTTCCCCAGCCTGAGTCTGTGAAACAGAACAGTAACATTTACCATTAAAGATAAGACTTTTAATGCTTAACAAGCAGGCTAAACTACACCTAAAGAGATTTATTTTTTAAACTAGAAATATATTAACTTTAATATTTTGAATTACAGTGATAGCTTCTATACTATAAAAGTCTTTTAAATTTTATTGCATTAAAAAAATCTGGTCATGTTCATCATCCTTTTAGTGAGAAGACACTCAGCTGATACAAGTAATTCAGACTGAACAATGCAGCTTTCCAGCTCATCTTGTGAGAGATAAGGAATGCTGCAAGTAGTCAGACCAGGTTTACCTCGTGCAACAGCTTACCGCTGCAGAAGGCGGCAGTCACTTACCTTTGTTGCCTCCTCCCCATTTGAGTCATTCCACTCCGTCACACCAGCTCTGATGGCCATTAAACCACTTATGCCAATTCAGTTCATTAACCCACTGGAAATAACGCTTGTTTGTTGGGTGAGTGAATTTAATACCACATTTATTGCAAAATGACAACTACAAGGTGTCTGTTTTCAGTATTACATGATCTCGCTCAGGCTCCACTCTACCATTCCACTCCTCCTTTCCAATGGGGTTTTGTGGGTTTTTTAACCAATTACTGTAGAAAAACATGCAAGAGGAAACTACTCACATTTTCACAAAATCGTTCTCTATCATCTCGGCACGCAAAGTAGAGATGACGGTCCAAGTGGAAGTCATCCGAAGAGAGTTCAGCTACACGAAGAATTGCTTTCTTACACTGATCAGAAACCTGAATTCGAGGATCAGTCTCCTCTGCCTCTTTTACCAGGCCTTTTTCCAGGCATGCCACCACCTCTCCTTGCGAGTGGGCATCCTATGTGAGAAGAGCAAGACACCTGTAACCAACCACTTACGTAATCAAGTGATCTGTGAATCTGGATAAGCACCGCATAAATTAAGTGACAAACTGTCTACACAGAGAATTCCAAAAGTTCAGCCTAAACTGCACTTACATTCATAGGAGGCAACAGGTAATATCTGTACTATCCACACACTTTATACATCACCATCCTGCTGATGGCCACGGTGAAATCCCCTCCTCCAATGCTCTGGGTTTGTTTTAACATGACTTAATGAGATTATCGCTACTTAGTCACACTGCTCAGAGCAGTTTACCAAAATGGCCAAATTATCTTTAATCTGACATAACTCTCTTTGCACCATGGCAACAGCAGGCAACAGCATCACATTAAGAACATACTTGGGGGAGAGAAAAATCATAGTTCCTCCTTGCTGAGACAAGCCTTCAGTTTGGGTGGTGATAATTAGTGATGCTAAAAAGGCCACAAAGGAGCTCTGACCAAAGCAGGCTTCTCAATGCTAATTCCTCCATTAAGGTGCTAAAAAAATTCAAAGCATTCAAGAGTAGACAAAGTCTCAGACAAAGCAGTTCTGGCCCAATACCATACACCACACCCACTGTCCCGCAAGCCTGAAGACAACTTTCGGCTATGACCAGCGACTTCCAGAGAGCCTGTGCTTTGTATGAAAGCCCAGAAGAGGCAGGGCAAGGCTCTGTTTAGTTTCCTACATCCTTTTTACATGTTTAGAAAGGGAACTATACCCCCTCTATACCCCCAATTTCTCTAATAAACAAGAACTCTTCTGGAACAGATCTCTCAAGGCTTCTGCAAGTTTTTCCTGTGAAGACCACCTTAATTTATGCTGCTCTGCTGTGAGAGAATATTGCTATTAAATTTATATCAGACTACCTGGAGTATACGACAAGCCATGAATATTTGCATACATCAACCTGGCATTTGCAGTAACCATTTAGGAGCTATCCCTTCAGCCCACTCTTGCCAAGTAGATTCATCCATTGCTGCTGCAACAGCACAAGTAAGAAAGCAGTCTCACTAAAATATGACTGTGACTATTCAAAGCCATGCAACTCTTGCAAATCTTTTTGTTCTGACCTGTTTCCTCAGGCAGGCAACCTTTCATTCCTGTTTTAACTCTGCTACACTTGGAGCACAAGCAGAACTGGCCAATTAAAGTCATAAACACAACCCAGAAGTATCATCAGTTTAAAAGGGCTAAAAGTAGTTTTCCCCTTAAAAAAGGCAAAAAAACCCCCAAAACCACACCCCCTAAAACTCCGTATTTTGGTTTGCTCTTTTCTTTGAGTGGGAACTGGCCAACTCCACATGCTGGCCAGGTATCAACATCTTTGAAGAAATATAATTATAATATTAACAGTCCCTTTAGGACTGAACCCAAAAGGGATCCGAGGAATACTAGTTAGCAGTACATTCACCACATTACTTAAAATTGTCATTTATCCATAACCACACCAAACACACACACTCTTCCACAAATCCTTGTGGTCACTCATAGGCAGTAATTACAACTGAGGAGCTGGCAAGCATAAATGATTGAGAACAACCATTTTAAGCTCCTCTGGCAGTTTTTTGCTCCAGCCTAGGTGAGGTTGCAGCTGGGAGGCAAGGCAGGCCAAGATTACTCTCACTCACCTGCAAGCCAGCAAAGGCGGCACAAAACAAGTTTTCCTGGTAGGAAAATCAGAAGTTTCCTGGTTTCTTGAAGCATGGGTCTAGATTCCTGGCCAGAGTCATGCTATATACGAAAGTGAACCTATTTTTGATAGCCTAGTGAAAGTGGATTTCCATATGCTGGATACTGAATGTTTACTGTTGCATTTCAGGGACACAACATGAAATGACTAACTTATTGCATTACTTCGCAAATACAATTTTTACATTTGGGTAGATCATCTTGTGGTGCTGTCTGCTGCCCTGTATTAGAGCAATTTTAAAACATATCAGACTTAACAGAAATAGAAACACATGCAAGTCAGCACAGCTAGCTCCTGATAGATGCAGTCCTGCTCTTTTCCCCACCTCCAGCATTCACATGCCTTCTTGTGGTGCCATTAGCATTCCTGCTCTCTGTTCATACTTAAATGCCTAGCCTGAGCAAACTTAACTAAGCAGAGAGTACAAGCTCCTGGCAAGGTAAAAGACCACCAGCTTACTGTATCTGTTCCATAGATCAAAAAGGTGTATAAAAATCCAGATCAGGATGTATGCTTATCACCATACTGAAGCACAGGATAACTGATCACAGCTTTACAAGGCTTTAACTATAAGCTAACACCTACTGTATTTAAGATTGTACAGTCTCTTATTGCAGACTGGAGGGGAAGGCAAATGTGTGTGTGGCTGGACTCAACCACCTTTTTCTAAAGTAGCTAGCCATCAAAAGTTTGACAGGCTTATCCTAAGAAGGATGGCAGGGCAGCTTTGACACACACTTGTGGTACCCTGCATCACTTTGCGGCACTCTGCCACACAGAGCTGCCTGCTCCCACCTGCACTCCACATGCCACCAGTCCCGCAGGACCAGCTCAGCTTCAGAGGCACCAAAGCTGAGGGTTGGCATCCCACAGCATGAGCTCTCCCGGTCCTGCTACAGCACTGGCTGCCTGGTGCATAAAAGGGTATAAATGCCTGCTGCAGCCCTGCTGTAGAATGAATCCCAAAGCTTTTCCTCTACCCAGCACCCCATTATCAGAAAGCCTCTACCTTAAGAGTTGAAGACCTTTAAGTGTATTCCACAAGTCAGGACTCCCCAGAATTGCTGTAGGGGCTGACAAGAGTCTAGGCCTCATTCCTCCATTGCAACACACTGAAATACAAGAGATTAAATCTAAAACACACATGGTTTTTTGGAATTGTTGCTTCACCACCACTATCAATCTTAAATGGAGAATTTTAACTGAAAGTTGCAAAGAGCTGTTAAACATACGAGATAATTATCTAGTCTGGAGTGCCTTGAAACTCTATACAGTTTTATGAAAGGATACATATAGATCCACAAAGGATACAAGCAGCTTTCCAGTACTGTCCTACGGGACTTTGAGCCACAAAGAAATGGAACTAAGTTCTAAATTTGCCCAAGCAAACCCCCTTCAGCACAATGCTTTGGGAGATTTTAATTCTCATGACCAAAATTCAAACTCCAGGCACATGGGTTTAGGCCCAGACAATTTTAAAAACCTTGTTCTTACTATTAATTTTCCATCAGATTCACACACACTCCCAACTATAGTTTAGGCTTTGCAATTCTTGTTTATTTTTTTGTCGTTTTCAGAAGTTCCACAGGAAAAGACTTTATTCTGTCTGAAACCCGACATGCCTCAAGTTCATGACTGTTCTAGCTGCAGACTTGCAGAGAGAAGCTAAAAAGGTGACCAGAAAAGAGTCAAGAGTAGAAGGGAGCAGCAGGCAGAAGGGTAAAACATAACCTGTCTTATCAGCACAGCACCTTGCACTGAACAGCTGTGCTGACTTGCTGGAGCCAGAGCAGTCAGGCTACAGAAAACCACCCAGCAGATCTATCACGAGTTCCAGTTTGGGACTCCACCTGCCTAACCCGGACACCAGGGCTACAGGGACGGCTCTTAGATTAGCTAGTAGTTCAGTTGATAGTACACTGCTATAATACTATATTAGTAAACAAAGACTGAGCTGAATGTCCTCATCTCTTCCCATTTAGACTCATTTCTCCTCTGTGTCCAGTACTTCTATGAAAGCAGGCAAAGAGTGAGAGCAACTGTACTTGAAGCACTTAGGGGTGGGGGTGGGGGGAATCAAGAAAACAATGGTCTCCTAATGTGTCTTTTTTTAGAAATCTGAAAAATACTATTATCTGGTAAAGTACTACAACAGATGTGCAACTGACACTTATGCAGCCTTCATTATGGCAAAATAATCAACTCCAGTTTGGACATCATGGCTAAATCCAGCACCTGGGCAACTATACACTACCCACTAGTTTGATATAATCCTGGACATTACCAGGATCAGTAAAGCAGCTCATTCTGATAGGCAGCCCAAGAACAAAAACTCCATTGCAATTACCAATTTCAAATTAGATCTCTATTGCATGAAGACAAAGCAAGCTTTAAAAACCAGGAGACCAAATTCACTATAAAGCACAACAGTCAACTGGAAAGGTGACTGAAACTACTATTAAATATTTCTGCATTAACTGGAAGGAAAAAAAAAACCCTACAAACAATTCCACAACACAGGCATATTACAAAACTTAATGCTTTCAAATGACATATCTACAGCCTTTCTGCTATATCCAGCAAAATGAAGTCTACAGTCAGATCGAGACTTCTAAGCTGTACTTTATTGCTCTTAGAGTAGAAAACCAACAAGAAACACGGACAAGAAAGCACAGAAAGTACCACATCAGAAGCAACAAACACAGCAGGAACAGAATTCAATTAGGAAGTAGAAAGCAAGCTAAAACAAAAAAAGGAAGTATAGAAAAGGAAAACAGTTAGCTAGCAGAGGGGCTTCAAGAGGCAGGGTAATTCCAGAATACCTATTAAAGTGACCTTTACAGTTAAAAATGCCAGTTTATCCCGGTTACTATGATGAAGCTATCATATTGCAATCTACTAGCCACCTGATGTGGATGGAGTTAGTGGTCTAGCAGTGCTTATTTCCATTAAAAAAAAAGAGACAGATGAATCTCTTCCCCCATCTTCCTCCTTAGGTGTCCAGGTCCTATTTATGAAATTCACAGTCACATTCAGTCACACAAAAGGGTAATGACTGCTTCTCTACAGGCAACTCTCAGAAGCTACAGCATGGAAATAAAACCTCAACCAGCATCTGACAGGAGTATATTAGGTGAGATTCCTCCAAAGCAGAAAAGGGATTGAACAGAACATCAACAAAAGAAATGCTTGCATAGCCATTTATAGCTGTTTCCATAGCAGTATAAATACTTCAATTGCTTTAAGTGCCAAGGATGACAGCATAACAAAAGACATCATATGACAGGCTGCGACGCTTTCACAAACCAAGGCAAAATATTCTGGGTTGGGTACCAAGAAAGTGAGGAATATGCACAAACCACACTAACCCCCATAAAAGGTTGGTTAGCAACTCACTTTGCTATCCCACAGAAACTTGGTGACCCAAAGGTTGCATTTGTTTCCCTCTCCTAGATGCCTTGTGGCCTTAGTCCCCACAGCCATCCTCACCCTTCACCCACCTTAACTTCTGTGACCAACACAGTGGGTTATGCAGTTACAAACACAAGCCTGCCAGCACTGGTTTCACTTCTATTAGATGAGATTTGGCTTAGACTCATGAAATCCAGGCTACTGTACCCTTCAGTGCTACCATAAGTATTTTAATTTATTTTAATTTGGTCAGGCCACAGGTAATATGTAGACCTGACACCCAGGACTCCCATATTATACTTCTGATTCTTTACTGACTGTTAAAAGCAATTTCTTATTTCATGAGGTCCTCCAGGCCAGGATTAGGAGACCCTTTACTTCATGGAGAAAGCAAGTTACTCAGCTGTTACTAGTCCAAACCTGTGGTGCCTGCAAGTTCCTCCCACTTCTAGAGCTGCTATTGTTCTTTAAAGCAAGTACTTATTTTTGTGCTTTCTGTTGTTCAGCTAAGCCTTCTGGAATACATTAGCACTTCAATTAACACACTATGGATGTGAAGCTGCTTACAGCAGCTAACATCTCCAACAACTAGGAAAACTTTTTTTAACCAGAAAAGTGTATATGTTTTGTTAAACCTTTTCACCTCCTTATTAATAGCTGATTTAAGAGACTAATTGTTAAAGTGTAAGACCTATAATTTAAAAAGCACTGTAAAAAGTTGATAGGCTAATTTTTACTTTGTCCATAAATATAAAAACTTACTGTAAAAGAAGCCACTCATTCCTGCCACACTACATAATTGCTGCCTGCATTAGTTATGCTGAAGTAGACAGGGAAAGACAGTGCCTTGAAAATAACCCTACATCTAGTCACCACAAACTGCTCTTTGCATCAACCTCCGCTGAAGTCACATATGGCAAAAGAACACTGATTTAGTAAAAGCAGTACAGTGTTTAAGTCTCTACTACTAAAATATGACACTAGGTAATACGTGCCCTTCAACTGTTTTTCAGGTGGGCAGGGGAAAGGGGAGGCAAACAGATATAAGCTCTTGATCCAGTCTATCAACTACAGCCTGAGAAAACAGAAAGGGTTATAGCACAGGCCACATCACCTTGATAACCTTCTTGCATCAGACCTGACCAGACTGTGAAATAAGCCTAGCAATAGGTCTGCTTAAATCTATTGTTCGGGTTCATCATATCAAGTCAAGCCTGACAGAGCGTGATCGAAAAGACAACTACCTACCAGTTCACCTGTAGTGCGGTAAGGAAAGACAAATGAAAGTCATCTCCGAATAGCAGTCCCTCATAGAGGAACAAATGCATATTTATTAAAGAGGAACTATACAGAATCAAAACATCACCCTTTTCAGACAGATGAGGTAATACATATATTTGCTCAGTTGCAAGTAAGGCAATATTACTATAGCAGAGTCTCCACATAAGTTTCCTTATGTGAATGACTTTTACAAGCCTATTGACAATCTACATGTTCTCTGAATACCTTTTCTCCAGGTCGAATGCTGCCACATTTCAGGAGATTGATGTCAGCCTTGCAGTCATCCATGAAGCCACAGATCAACCGATAATCACTGAAGATAATGGCTGTCATTTTAGTGATGTACTGATGGCACTGGTATTCAGTGATGTTGCCTCTGTGATCCACCAAACATGACACCAAAAAGCCTTTACCAACTGGTTCATCTGCACACTCCTTGATCTGTTTAGAAAAAAGAAAAAAAATTAAAATAGAGTGGCTGCAGCTACTGAATTTAACCTTCTTAACAAAAAAACCCAAACAAACCCATCCTCCAAGAAACTTGCATCTGCAGCCTCAAAATCTGCTGGCAAAGAAACCCTCTAGGCTTTAGTTTGATTTTCAGCAAGTCAGAATACTTGAGAATATTTCAGAAATGAGAAATACATCATGTGTGCCAGTATCTGAAGAAAGCAAATGCAGTGACCTTGAGGATTATAAACCCTCTTGCTCAATAGTCATCTTTCATAATAATCACATTGAACCCCTGCAATCAAGTGGATTTGTAGGAAAAAATGCTAGTTTGACAAACCTTTATTTAGAAAGCTGAGCATACTACAACATCACTAAATCATACTTAGACCCCCATTAGTGACCTGACCTCGTACAATATAACATTTTGGCTAGAAGTGAGACTGATCAAAAAGTCAACACTGTATTTATTGAACTGTTTATAACTTGCTGGAAGCTGAAAATTACTATAAAGGAAAATCCTCATCAAATTCATTTTTATCAGGCTCTTATAGGAACTGATGGTTGGTACTAAACCATTTTACTCAGTGGTCTAAAAAAAATAAATAAAAATCACAGCTAACAAAAGCTGAAAGCTGTGCAAGGATTGGAAAAGCAGTGTACATGAACAGACAGGTCTCCAATATAAATCGCAGCCTGCACTGCTCAGGGAATCAGTCAGTAAGGCCAAAACCATCACCTTTGGAAGTAAAAGATGCAGACAGTTTTGACAGCATCTTTCCAAAGGAAGTGGAAAACATGGTTACTTATCACTTAAGGACGCTCCCCGAGGAATCTTGCAATAGGAACAGTGCAATGCCTTGCTCCAAGGAGTATCGAGATTACACAGACTCTTTTTAACCCTAGGAAGCCTGTGTTGAAATACTTGCCCGGTTCTTGTGTCCCCTGTTCAGGAGTATGCTGAAAATTGCAGCCATAATGATGCAGAAAGCATGCTTGACAGCCAGACACTAGAGTGCAGTGGTGACAGTTTTTCAAGCAATAGATACGTGGGTTAACTCGGTTACATCAAAGATTTGTTCCTGTACTAATACTGAAGGGCTCATCAATCTAAAGGGAGATCCATGGCAATCAATAATCCAGGCAGGTTCAGATACCAAGCAAGGGGGGCAGTGCTAAGGGAACAGGCAGGGAACCATTTTATCAGTTCTCAAATACCAAGTTGGAATCTTTATACTGGAAATTTTAGAAAAAGGGAGAGCCATCTCTAGAAAGATATATTCCAATTCAAACAAGAATTAGCTCAGGGCATCCCATGACAGACTCATACAGGTCAGACTAGATGAATAAAACAGATCTCTTTGCCTCAGCTTATGCGGCCATTGCTTTCTACAAAACAAATAAAACATGCAACATTTTAAACGCCATTATGTGAAGGCAGATGTAGGCTAGTAGAACATTTTGTATTTAATCTATATAGCTATTGGAAAAACATAGTTACTAAGGTTAATGTAATTGTTATAGATAAGGCATAAAATACATTCTGAAGTGAGAGCACGTATGATTCATTGCAGGGTGAAAGGGAGAGAGTTGAGCAAGCTTTCTCTGAGAAAGCCACATATTCAGTTTGGCTCTACTGCAGCTCAAGTACCACGAGCAAAACCAGCACACAACAGCAACATGCTGGTTTTGGAAGAGCCTGGCTTTGGAAACAGCCCCAGAGCATCATGGCCTGAGTCAGCGAACTGCATAAAAGCCCCAGCAATCATGTTATTGCCTGGCTACTTCTGAAACAACCACCATTATATGGTAGCCAACTATAATTCTAGATTAAAACTATCACCAGAACTTACAAAATCACAACAGTTGAGAAAAAAGTTTATATTTATATCTATACTTGGCTGATAAAATTAAAGGTAGACTTTTCAGAATATACCCGGTTGGGACAGTCACCAATTCCCAAATGACTTTTACTAGAAATTACTCTTCTAGTTGTACTTTGTTCTTAATACAAAACAATACTTAAAATCAGAGCTCAGTCACCAGCACGAAAACTGTTACTGTGAATTAAAGAAAAATATTAATAGGCTAATACTGCATGTCAGCAGTATATTCCCACTACATTAGTTTTAAAGAGTGTTTTGCAAGTACTTTTAAAAATTACTCAATAGCTTATGCACCTGCCTCAGTATTAAGTATCAGAAGATGAAACACATGAGATTATTTGTTACTTATGCAATACTTTTTTTTCTTTAAATAAAAACCACTCAAACAGCAGAATACCAGCAGTTCATGTTCTCATTCACCACAATTATAAGAGGAACACTGGTGGTTAATGTACAGCTAAAATGCTATGCTCTTCCCACTGATTTTCTACATCATATCCCAGATTTAGAGGCATCATTTACAACAATGCCAGACTGTCACTGTACAAAAGTGGTAACTAAACAGACTGTTAAAAGAGCATTTTCAAGAATGCCTTAGTCATAAAAATTCTGCAGCAGCTATATGACGTAAAACAGAAAAATATAATCTTCCCTATGACTGCAAAAAGTGAGTTTTGACGTATTTGGGAGTTATTGAACAGTTTGCTTTTGGGAGTTATTGAACTCCAAACACAGTGTAACCCTTTGATGCAAGCTGTTCTCCTTCCATTGTTTAATACTCTAGCCTTCTTGTATTAACTATTTTCTTGATCTCTCCTTATACTAAGTAATAGTTTCCCACTAACACTATTCTTAACACAACTCAGCTGGTGCTGAGAAGGGGAAGCAGAACCCTGGCAGGCCATGAAGAAAAAGCAATCAAGTACCCCTCAACTACATTACTAATTCCCAAACTTTTGGAGCCAGGCTGCTGTTGACATCCTCAATTTCCCAGATCTTTGTGTGTTCCTCTCAAATGAAAACTTTGTGAAGAACGAGGATCCACGTAGTCCATCAAAATGTGAGGACTTGGGGAACCACTCAAACATGCACTGACATATTCCTCATCTAATAAGCAAGTCTGCACCACTGAAAACTAGACCTACAGAAAACAAACTGTCAACTCAGACTGGGGTTGGAGAGACAATTTGCTATTCATGCAACTGATTGTCTTTCAAGAAAACCTACTTTGAAAGTCACAAAGAGGCCATTATCTAGAGCAAACTGAATATTTTTTTTAAAAGGCAAGTTTATGGGTAGGCAAAATTATTCTGGTGGATATTCAAAGGGTGTTTTTCAGAGCATGGTTTAATGACTGAATTAAGTCAGCTGAAGCCTGTACTGCTGTGAAGAGCCTTGGGTGCAGTGCTTCCCCTTAAGTCTAGCTGAAAACTACCCCAACCAAAGGTAAAAAAACCTCAGCTCAGTCAGCTCCTGCGTGGCTGAGTGCATAGCCTCAAGAGCTCTAGCATGAGCACAAGGAAAGAAATGATTAATCATGTAATCTTTGAAGCTGGACTAAGGTGTGTTGATGCTTGAGACACAGAGGACTAGCTCCTAGTGCAACCTAAAAAGATGAAGTTCCTAACAGAGTCTCCTTGGAGTAATTAAACTTTGAGCCACAAAGGAAAAAAAAGCTGATTCATCATTTGATGTCTACGTACTTATCCTCTCTGCTAGCAAAACACAATCCAAAACCAGCCTTACGCTAAATTCAGTGGAACCATCACTACATCAACACTGCTACAATTCTCCAACACTTGATAAAGAGGGGACAAATCCAATCCACAACAGATTTCTGACAAAAGGTCAGGTAAGAGCTGACAGGTTGTTAGTTTATCATTTCTTTCCCCCACTCCTTTGTCTGGTACCACTAAGGTAACTGTTTTTTTCCACAAGGAGATCGAATTAATTACATCTAGTAATCTGGCATGTAAGACTAGAGCTTCCCCAAACCCAAAACATTATTCGCACACTAATTCACTATCACAGAGAAATGAAAAAAAGCCTAGTGCCACAATAGCAGCCATGCCTTTCTTCTGGTTTACCTCTGCAATAGTGGACTTGCAGACTTCTCTGGCCACGGATTCAAACTTCGGATCTGTAGTCAGGTTCAGCTTGTAGTTCCACAACAGCTATAGAGAGAGAATTTATAGAAAGGGGGTTTAAGAGCTTCCCATGAAGAATGACATATTTTGCTTCAGAAAAGAATGAAACATCATTTATTCCTGATCTGTATCATCATCCTTCTACAACGCAACAATCAATGCAAAGTCTCCTTGATAACTTTGTCCCTTCATAGTAATTTTCTCATCCTGAACAAATTCAGACTGTTAAAAAATCTCTCCATAAGGTCATGAGCCGACTCATTAAAAGGAAATATATCTAATGAAGACAATTTCATAACTGAAAGGATAAAACAACAAAAGCTGTAACTTGCTACCTGCTGCATATTTTAGCAGTGTCTTTAGCCCACCACACCTTTCTGTGCCATGACTTGTCTGCAGGATGCAAACGATCTAACAAAAATGAAGTCCTCAATATGAGCAGGTTTCATGCTGAAAACCTAATAAAAGCCTAGCAAAAAAGGAAGTAGGACAATGCAGCTGGGTCCCTTATTCACTTCCTTCTGTGAGGCACTGCAACCAACGTTTTGGATGCAGATATATTTCAAACCTATAGAAGGTTCTCTCTCTTGCTAAGCACAACGATACATTAGAGGTTAGATTACAAAACGCCTCAGTAAGGGTGACTGTTCTTCTAGGAGCCAGAGATTAGCTCACATAGGAGCCTAGATGCATTTGGTCACTGTGTGCAAGAATCAGTCTTGGGCAAGTCACACTCTGCAGATAGATACACATCCCAGATGACCTCCTGAGGCACCATGAAGTAAAAACACAGGGTAAGATAGCAAAACCTCAGCAAATTAATAGCTAAGATGTTGCCCGAGAAAAGCTCTATTAGCTTATCTGCTTTTCTCTAGGAACTTCAGTTGCATTTAAACATTTTTCATTAACATAAAGATTAAATAGTTTTAAAAATTTATTTAAAATACTCTGCCTTTGTGACAAAATCGAGTTAATATCAAAAAGATAAACTTCAAAATAAAGTTTGACCAAACTGTTTAAATTGTGCACAAAACGCTAAGAACGCACAAAACCATGCTCCTACGCAAGGAAAACCGTTTTACATCATCTCCAAGAGAGTGGAAGCAGGCATACAGAACTAAAATTGGATCAGCACAGCTGCACTGTCTTCCACACCTCATATCATGGAGTTATGAAAAGTTAAAAAAAGAGATGATGGGATCCTAGGGCATTTCAGAGGGAGGAAGAAGTTGTAAATATACAGGTTTAACAGACAGAAGTGAATAAACAGGGAACCTGTCCTTGCAAAGTCCTGTAGACCTCTCCCAGCTAGGATCGGAAGGACAAGAATGAGGTCCAACACCATAAGAATACACCTCTGCATCTGTAATCTCGAACTTCGGAGAGTCTCAAAATGAGACGCTCTCCAAAGGAACCTTCCCACAGATGGAAGGAAGGTTAAACTTGCAACATAAAAATCCAGATTTTAGCACTAGGCAGTATTTTCCCAGGAGATTATCAGCAGTTGTACTACCAAAGACTGCAGAGAGAGGCAAAGAAAACATTTGGACACGAGGCACCTCTCCATGGTCTAGCTTTTGATCACTCCTCTTCAATTTCTGCCTGGGAAAATGAGATTTTGTCCACACCTCCTATTCCTGAAAGGCTTCTATAATCCACAGCAGCCTGACATCTGCCTTGTGGCAGACATGCTGTCATTTAATCATGCAGAGAAAAGGTCCAACTTTGAATTCTCAAGTTTTTCTTCATTCAGGTAATTTCTGTTGGCATATTTAAGTATCAGGTAGATATGTTTTAATTACTGAAGTTTTCTTTTTTTCAAAAAAGGACTTAAACAGAAACATGACATGCCCTTCATCTGATCCAACCCTGCACAACAGAGAATTACAGCTGCCATGAAGTCAGGCAGCACAGTGCTAAAGGTTAATTTATAAACGTAGTTAGAAATTACTAGTTGTACAGCGTGGCTGAGTTTCATTTCTGGAATATATCTTCCAATAATAAACCAAAATACGCTTCTCAAGCATCTGAAGCCAAGACCGTCATTGAGACATGCACTTGTCTGTGTCTAGGGCTAACCAAACAATTAAGGATCTTGATATGGTATATTCTAACAGAATGCAAATGAGAGAAACCAAAGGAAACCTAATACCAACCTTAGCTCTGATTTTTTTATTTTTTTTAAAGTCTCAGGATTTGAAGAGTCAGCTTGACAGCCTGAAAACTGGCTAACAGTTTGCTCACTGTTAAACACAGTGCTGAGAGGGAATCTGTTCTAAAACCAGCCAAGTGGTTCAAACTGCCTCTAAATATCACATCCCCACAGCATTTTCCAAGCAAGTCTAAGAATTTAGCAGCTGTGAAAGTAATACAGAAGGCTTCAACAGCTGAAATTAAGAGTTTAAATTCAGCACTGCTCACATCTTTCCCAAAAGCAGCACATCATATTGCTCCCAGTAACTCACAGGAACCACCCCCCAACTATAAAATAGGAAAGACGTCTGCTATCCTCCTCTGACACAGCAGTGCAGTTTATAAAGCTCTTAAATATGTTCTACTCTGAAGTCTCCAGTAAGACCGTAGTGGCTATACCGGGTTAAAGTAGTCACCTTGCATTCTTCCTCCACAGGCCAGTACCAAAACCCAGATGTGTCCTGATTAATGTCTTTTGCAAACTACCAAACTATGCAAAATACCTAAGGCTGATAAGGGATATAAGGTGCAAATGCCATAGCTAGAGACTGAATAAAACAAAGCAGTACTTACATGATTGCAGTCTGAAGAGATTTCATTATCTGGCTGAAAGGAGAAAAAAGGAGCATCAGTTCACTACTGATGTGATGCATTTAACATACAGAAGAGCATAAACTTATAGAAACTAACATACTGTCAACTCGTTTTCATTTAAGAAACAATTTCACATAAGCAATAGGAAATTTTAAAAGCTGCATAAAAGAAGTGATGATATCCAAGTACCAAAAAGATTGAAACAGGTACTTTAGACACAATGCTGTCATAACTCTACAGAATATAAATGGCACAAGAGTAGCAGCATTTATGTAGACACTGCAAAAACATAATGAATGCACTTGTGTTTGGCCCAACTGCCCGAACTGAGAAGGCAAAAAAGCACCTGTGGGAAAACAAAGATGTGGTAATAGAGTTTTAAAGAAAAATAAGTTTCATGCATACAACTGAAGGAGAAAGGTAGGACTCGCTTCCCTCCCCCAGACTGAAGTGTTCATATTGCCCATTTAAGAAGCAACATCTTTTCTTTCAGCTGTACATAAAGGGGCCTGTCCAAAGCAGTCCTCAGATTCACACCTTCAACCATGAGAAACTGGTAACATCCAATATTCATACATAATTTCAAAATGTTCACTATATTCTGTATTTAATAGTAATGAAGGTATTACTATGTCCTCACGACAATCCAACTGACAAGTCCTAATGCACAGACTGCACCAGACACTAGTTAGCGTGTTCGAAACACCCACATTCCACAGGGAGCCCCTTTGGAAAGAACTCCAGCTGCAAACCATCCTGTCCTCCTTCCAGCCTGTGTAGCTCTCACAATGGAGAACACCTTGAAAAAAGTTAATCATACAAACCTGTATCTAATCTCCATAGCAGAACAGCACAAATGCAGGACAAAATCACCTGCCCATCATACCCACAGAAAAATCAACCTTGACTCACAAAGTCTCTGCTTCCACTGATATTTAAGATGCCAGACATGCTCTAAGAGCCACAGACACTCAAAACCACTCAAAGCTTAAACACATCATTGACACTAGCACATTAGACCTCAGATATTTGACATAAGAGAAGGAGCATTTCATCAGTTTTGGAAGCAAGCAGCCCAGATCCCAAGGAGGTTTTTTTAGTGCAAGCATTTGCCTCTGCACATGTTACGCCAACACTTCCACCATTGCCGCTTTGGAGAGAATAAACACAAGTTTATGGGAAAAAGAGAGCATAGGAAACATTTCCAAGTCCTTAATTACAGCCATTATTAACTAAAGCACTTTTGTTTTGTACAGCAGGAAGTGGCAGAAATCACCTCTCCACTTAGAACATAAAAAACAAAACAGTACCTGAAGGATCACAGTAATTAATTGCAGTTTGGTCAGACTGCCACCACCTAAAACCGTATCTCCCGAAGTAATCATAAATTTGAAAATTAGGATATCAACTTTTTTTAAAAGGCTAGTAGTTGCCTGTTCATTATCCTCAGACTGCAGAACTGATCCTCACAACTGAAAACTAAGATGACATCCAAATTACACTATTTTAAAGCAGCCTCTAAGACCAACACTATTATGACTTACAATATGGTTCTTCCTTAATTTTCTGCATCCATCTTAATCATTCAGCAACAGACAGAGGTTTTAGACTAAGCTAACTGCAAAAGCTGAGAGGCAAAATGCCTTCCACTGAAAAGTTGCTGTCTCAGTCTTTTAGTCAAGGACAGTTTCTTTATAAAAATATATAGGCTAGCACTGTAATTCTCCTCTAGAGGACAGAACTTACTAACACACATGCAAGAAGAAGAATTTGAAAGGGCCAGAGAGCACTCTCCCAAAACCCTTCTTGGTTGCTTCAGTTGTTTTTGCAACCTCCAATGTAGTAACCTTTGCTTCACATCCACCAAAGATTAAAGCTCAGTTTTTCTGGAAATATGAGCCCAAGAAGATAACAGGCTGGTTCTCACTGACTTGGGAAGCTTAAACAAGATTTTCTTGAAATACACAACGTTAAAATACTACACATTGAAATACCAGCCTTCCCTGTGCTCTGCAAACCTCAGCTCTGAGAAATCAAGCCTTATTCTTCTGAAGAGAGTAATGGAAGTTAAATGGGACCTTAACTAAGCTTTAGTACTGCATACATTCACAGTTCAGTACTTAAATATGCAAAAGCATAAAATCTAGCCAATAATCCTTTAAATGCAGAACAAGATGACCACTTGCTAGCTAAAAGCAGTGATCCTTCTTCCCTCTTTCCATTGCAAGTGTAGGAGAGGTGGGTTCAGTGGCAATGCTGACCTTCTCCCGATTTAAGTGAAGCAAAAGGAGAAAAGTAATCCTTTTTATCTTGTGTCTGATAAACTGAAGGGCTGAGTTTGACAAAGGGAAAGAAAAATTTCTGCAGCACAACCCACACCATTTCTGCCTTTCTAAGGAGACAGCCTGTGGCCCTCTATCCACTACATCTACCCAACAAACCTTACAAACAAGCAGTTTCAGAACAATATGCTTGTGTAGTAAGAGTCATGAAAAAAAGGTAAGTTTCAAATTACCACTAAGAAAAGTTAAGAAGCAAGAAAAGCTGCATTGTGTCATTCCCACATGGCGAGCTTGGGGAACATGGATGCTCAGAAACCCCCGGGGCAGGAGGAAGGAGGAGAGCAGCCCAGACCAGCACTGCACACTAGTTGAGGCATTTTAGGAGAGGAAGCTGATGGCAGCTAATCCACCGATTAGTGAGGGAGAAGGACTCCTCTTACATCTCTTAATTGAAGGATTAAAAACAGACTTCACAGAAAGTACATGTGCCTCTGGGCTTACAGAAGCTTTTGCTGTTTAGCAGCGTCAGTGGGAATATATTGCCTCCCTTTGCAGTTCTCTAAAAAGCTCTCCAAACTCCTTCGCATACTAACACTCACATTCCAGAGTACAAACACCACTTCCTACCTCTCAGGAAAAGCAGAGTTTAGCACAAGTACCAGCTATAAGGAAACCTGAACAGAAAAAAAAGCATTTCCTTCCATTCAGCCACATACAACAGACACAAATCATACTGCATTAGTATTGTGAACTTTGTTACAGAGAAATTCAAAGGTTTGTATGAAGTCATATCACCACCAGACTATGAGGTCATCAACACTGCTGTGTTTAAAAGTGCCTTTTCTCATCCACAAGATCTCAACTCACTGAAACAAGCCACGACGGCCATCCCTTTCTAAATCCCTCTGCTTCAGCAGCAGTATAAAACTAGGTCAAAACTGTACAGCAAACGAGCAACCCACCACCACTACCCAGGCTCAAGGAGGCACAAGGCATTGGTGCTTTAGCTTCAGAAAGGGACCATCATCATGCTGGTTCCCAGCAATGCTTATCTAGCCATAGCTGTATCACGAACCAGTGTCGTGCATCACCATCTAGTGAAGAGCACACCGCCTGGGGTGCAATTACTGTCACCCCCACAGCTTGAGTCAGAGCCCCTTTCGGCTGTGTATACAAAAGAGACTTGATTTGGTCTTATTTCATCACATCCTAAAAAAAATAATTCACACCATTGGATTTTGAAAAGCAAGGTAAGAATCCTAATCAATAGCTGTGGATGAAACTCAAGGTCTTGGGAGAAGTCTCTGCAGGGACTATTGTCATCACCAGCAGCTGCTTGACCTTCCTTTCCTTTGCTCCCTTGCAAATGTCACACAAACAGAAGAGTGTGAAGTCAACTACACAAGTGCCTTTATTCCCAGATTTTAAATCCTCCTTAGAGGAGAACAGGGGATGACAGCAGATATTTCCACTATTCTTTTACGGGAAGAGTAGCAGTGCACTTGCTGAAAAGCAAGGACCAGGCATATCTCAAATACTAATTATGGATAATCTTCAGCCACTGAAGACAACAGACTTTGGACCTGCTCAAGCAAAAACCACCAAGAACCAGCACGGAGTAAACCAGCAAAATAAAATGGCAATTGGCTTGTGGATGGGAGGAACCCAGTAGATGTTCTCCCCCTAAATTCAGGAACAGATTGCAAAAAGACCATATGGTTAATTAGGAAAGAATGTTAATTAAAGCAGCTGCCTTCCCATGAAATAGAGGGTAGGGAGAAGTCCAGCCAGACTGCAGGTGTTCCCCAGTTCATTGCACTGTCACATGTACGATATAATACAGAGCACAGTGCATATGGACATGCAGTACAGGCAGCTCATGGTTCCCAGACACAGTGTTGAAGTTTTCCACTCTGACCTAAACAAACACATTTCTCACCAATATCTGTAGAGAAGTAGTAGAGCAGGCCTGCTGTCCCAGGAGCTTCTAACAAGGAAGCTATCAACCTGATAAAGGGAAAATTTACTTCTTAGCTGTGTCCTTCCCACAGATAACAGCAATCCCTTTGCACCTAACATACCCAGCCAGGACAGCAAACTTGCAATAAAGCAATTGAATCCGCGCGTAACAAGCTAGCTAGACTTATAACACCAGAAAACAGCACAGGCTAGATGCAAGATAGAGATCAAGGAGAGATCAGGGGGAGCCACCCTCCTGCAAACCTGATCCCAAGGCAACCACTAGAAGTGATTCTGCAGAAGAATCTGTGGAAACAAGAACAGATACAATAGACTAGGCAAGAATCAGCACAGCTTTTATAAAATAAGAAAAACCACACATCACACAACCACCCATGCTTCAAACCTACTGAAACATCCTGGAGTTCTGTGCCAACAAGCATATGGCTACAGTAAACCGTTTTCACACATCCTGCAATCCTGAAAGAATCATGTGTGATAAAAAAGTTGAAACCAGTGATAATTTAAGTTCAAAACAGATGAGAAGACTTCCTAATGTAATTACACGTTTAGTGAGCAATAAAAGTTAAACTTGTTAAGCTGAGCTTGAAATATTCTCTAATGCCAGTGAACTGTTAGTACTAAAAACACCCAGTGTTGTCATGTCAGCAAAAAAACTCTACACTTAATCATTCATTCTTTCAAAAAAGCCTGTTTGAAGCATGGTACTGTGCGTATATCATGCACCAAAGTTATCAAGCTCCTAGCTTC